GTTACCCACTAGTGCAGATCTAACAGCCAGCCACTAGTGCAGATGTTTCCGAGTATGTTTCGGGATGTGTTTCGCGGGTATGTCCTAAACCCTAAACCCGAAACCCTAAACCCTAGACCCTAAATCCTTGGCATATAGGCCACGCTTAGCCCAGGTGCCCCCATAAGCTCCAAGGCCACAAAACTCCCCAACAGCTGTTGACCTAGACGCGCACTCAACCTAAACCCTAAACCCTAAACCCTAAACCCTAAACCCTAAACCCTAGAATCCTGAGCCCGGAGATCCTCAAGCCTCATCCGTAATCATAAGCCTTATAAGCCCTGAGATCCTGAAAGCCCCGAGATCCTAAACCCCTAGACCCTAAACCCCAGGATCCTAAGCCCTAAACGCCCTGTCAGCCCTAAACACAGAAACCCCAAAACCCCTTAGACACCATCTTGGGGGCTGAATACCCTAGCCCCAAAAAGGTTTATCGTTTATATGTAGTAGGAATCTATATAACCAACTAGGTTAAAGGGTTGCCTGCCCAGTCCCTAAGCCCTAAGCCCTAGGCCCTCAGCCCTCAGCCCTAGACCTCAAACCCTAAAGCCTAAAGCCTAAACCCTAAACCCTAAACCCTGAACCCTGAACCCTGAACCCTAAACCCTAAACCCTAAACCCTAAACCCCAACCCTCATTTCGCCGCCTTCAGCCAGTTGCCCACCGGCTTGGAGAAGTCGCCGAGCTGCCTCGGGCGGGCGCCCAGGAGTTGGTTGGGAGGGGGGTGGGGGGGGGGGGGAGGGGGGGGGGGGGGGGGGGGGGGGGAGGGGGGGGGGGGGGAGGGGGGGGGGGGGGGGGGGGGGGGGGGGGAGGGGGGGGGGAGGGGGGGGGGAGGGGGGGGGGAGGGGGGGGGGGGGAGGGGGGGGGAGGGGGGGGGGAGGGAGGGGGGGGGGAGGGGGGGGGGGGGGTGGGAGCCCTAAACCCAGGGTTTAGGGTTTAGGGTTTAGGGTTTGGGGTTTGGGGTTTGGGGTTTGGGGTTAAGGGTTTAGGGCTTCTTCGAGTTTAAGGTTTTTCGTCTGAATGCTAAACCCCTAAGCCCGAAACGGGTGTTTTCGAGGCCTTCCACTAGGCAACCCAGTCACTACTCCGCAAACCTTAGGGTCTAAGTGCTATGACCCTGTGCGTGTGTGCGTGCGCGTGTTTATGGTTTCGGGTGAGCCTGGTGGCTTTTCTACTAACCCACCTTAACCCCGCCCCTAACTCGAATAAGATACAAATGGCTTGTAGGAGAACCTAAGCTGAGCGCCTGGTGACCGAGGGGTAAATGTCTTCGAGGCCTCGCTGTGGACCAAAATTCTACTCTCTCCTACTCGCAACCCTACGAGTTCCCAAGCTTCCCGGAGCCCTTTGAAGACAGAGTTGAGGCTTCCACCCCTCCCCCCAAAAGCCTAAACCCTAAACCCTGAACCCTAAACCCCAAACCCTAAACCCTAAACCCTGAACCCTAAACCCCCCCACCCACGAAAACGCGAGCCGCGGCGCATTTGCCTGGCCGCCACGAGGATGGACTTCACCTGGACTCTCTAGCAACCTAGAAGTTTGTTTCCTGAACTCCTTAGTCTAGACCCAGCAGTAACCTAGGAATAAAAAGGGTACCCTGTTTGGTTTTAAGGGGATCCTAAGGGAACCCCAACTCAAAACAAAGGAAATAAGGGCCTACTCCGGGTCCGACTAGTAGCCCAGGAACCACACTGTACCCTTTTTGGGGGTTGGTAACCATAAGGGAGTCTAGAACCCCAACAAAGGGTAGGGGGTGCCGGGCTACCAAGAAACCAAGCCCCGGACCCACAATGAAAGAAGGAATAAACCCTAAACCCTAAACCCCCAATGGGGCGGTCGAGTCACGGTGGCGACGTCCATGTTGCAGCGCAGCGCCTCCTGTAGCCCTTCCTGCATGTAGGGTTTAGGGTTTAGGGTTTAGGGTTTAGGGTTTAGGGTTTAGGGTTTAGGGTTTAGGGTTTAGGGTTTAGGGTTTCGGGTTTCGGGTTTCGGGTTTGGGGTTTATAGGGTTTAGGGGAGTTAGTAGTACTGGTCCATAAGAATCATATGCTCGCCAGGAACATAAGGGCCAACAAAGGCTGGTGAGCTGTCATTCTGTGGCGTCGCGTGACATTCTAAAACCTGCAATCCTGATCCCTGAACCTTCGACAACGAATCCCTGATCTCTAAACCCTAAACCCTAAACCCTAAACCCTAAACCCTAAGCCTGAAACCCTGCAGCCTGGTTTAGGGTGGGGCTTCGCCGCTTGGCCGATTAGTCCATACGCTTCGGCCTCGAAGAGCTTCGCAAGCCTGGAGCGAAAGTCTGACTGGAACACGGTATCGTCACCTGGCGTAGGTTTAGTTAGAGTTTAGGGTTTAGGGTTTGGGGTTCACGGTTTCGGGTTTAGGGTCGAGGGTTTAGTGTTTAGGGTTTTTTGTGCGGGCAGCAGCCAGGTTCTGTCATCCGGGTTTAGGGTCCCGGGTCTATGGCTTGCAAGGAACTCAAGATAGGTTGCCTCAATATGGAGGACCGACCATTCTACTACGTGAACCCTGTCAGAGTGGCTTAAGTTATCATGGGTTCCTCTACTACCCCGCCCTAGGTTCCCCCCACTATAATGGCCATTCAGGGGTAATTAAGCCAAATTGAGGTTGTTTAAAGGGGGAACAGAGGGCTGGGGGGCAAGTACAGAGGGGGGTAGTAGGGGACAGGGGGGGGGGGTAGTAGGGAACCCATGACTTAAGTTAAGTTCCTTAACGTCAACCCTTTCGGTTTCGGGTTTAGGGCGTCTTGGTTTCAGATGAATGCAGGAAGCCCACGCATTGTTAAACCCAACGTCGGAGGAGCTGCAGCGTCTATCCTAAACCCTAAACCCTGAACCTTGAACCCTGAACCTAAACTCTAAACCCTAAACCCCAAACCCCAAACCCTAAATTGCCCTAAACCCTAAACCCTAGGACCCTAGGACCCCAGGACCCTAGGACCCTAGGACCCCGGGACCCTAATTACCTTTAAAGGCCCCCAAGACACAGGAAAACCTGTTCCCAGCCCAAGTGCCGGACCTCTGCTCCCAAAAACTACGGGCCTGACCAAACTCTCATCAGTACGTTGGAAGTTAGAAAGGTCCTAAACCCTAAACCCTAAACCCTAAACCTAAACCCTCAACCCTAAACCCTAAACCCCACCGCCTAAACCCCTACACTCTCCAAACATTCCCTCAATCCAAAATTGAAACAAGGAGAAAAGCCTCTCCCAAGCGCGGCTTTTACCGGCATTTGATGCCCCAAACCCGATGTCTCTGAGGGCCTGAACGCACCGCTAAACCCTAAACCCTCAACCCTCAACCCTAAACCCTAAGCCCTAAACATCTCTCTCCTCGTGCCTCCCACCCTCTCCCAAAACCCTAAAGCCTAAACGCGGAACTTCCTAAACCCTAGGAAGATCAACCCTAAACCCTAAAGCCTAAACCCTAAATCCTCAAGCCTAAACCCTACAGCAGGCCAGGGGGCTGTATTCGTTCAGGAGAGTGCCGGCAAGCATGAACCTTGCAAAGGAAAAGATGGACACATCATCCCAGCCCCCTGGGGGAGGATCCAAATAGTAGATGTCCTTAAGGAGGTTTAGGGTTTAGGGTTTAGGGCTTAGGGTTTAGGGTTTAGGGTTTAGTAGATCCCCTAAGGGTTCCGGATCTAGCTCAACACCCACAAGAGAAGTTCCCTTAATGATGGGGGGGGGGGTATTCTCTAAAGTTAAGCTGCGCGTTGGAGCAGTGACCTCCCAAACCCTATGACCTAAACCCTAAACCCTAAACCCTAAACCCTAAACCCTAAACCCTAAACCCCAAAATCCCGAAAAAGGGCCCATCATCGAGAGAAGCGACCACACCCCTGAACCCTCCGGTAGTGGTTTGAGGGTTTGAGAGTTTGAGAGTTTGAGGGTTTGAAGGATTCAGGGTTGAGGGGATGAGGGGGGATCTACAAGAATTATGGGCCCATTTCTGGTGCACATTCACTGCAAGAAGGGCCCCTCATCTAGATCAGCAGCCATTTCCCAGACCCTGGAAGGATCCAAAACAGTAGGACCCCCAAATAACACCCCATCCTGCTATTGGGTCATTTTTTGGAACCCGTCCGGGGATCTACTTTTCGGATCCTTCCAGGGGTCTCCCTAAACCCTAAACCCTAAACCCTAAACCCTTAACTTCCCTAAGTCTGGGTTGCAGGGGATTCCAGGGTGTAGGTGGGGTTCTGTGCAGTGCCAGGCTGCGCATGCCGCCGCCTCTTCTCAAGGCTCTCCTTTGTAGTGGTCTTGGGGTTTAGGAGTTGAAGTAGGGTATATATTCCTTGTATCCCCAAAAGGACACACACAATATATATATATATATGTACACACTCACCAAGAGCAGTAATATAAACCCTGCTTCATTTAGGGTTTTTAGTTTTAGGGTTTGGGTATTGAGGGCTTTCGGGTTCGAAGGTCCAGTGTGTTGGGGGTTTTTGGGTTTGGGGTGTGTGTGTGTGTGTGCTAGGGTATTTGGAGATGGCTTGAGGCCTTAAGCACCAGGGTTTAGGAATTGTAGGGTTATGAGTACACCCGATGAGGTCTCAACCGGTTCATAACTACAGTTGCCCGGCTTAGCTCCTCATCTACCTACCCATGAACCTCCAAGTAGCAACTTCAACGCCACCCCACACCCAAAACCCCAAACTAGGGATGTTCCCCCTTCTACTAGCAGTCCTTGATAGGGATCATAATAGGGGGTACTAGAACCCCTGCTAAGGACTGCTAGAAGAAGGGGAAAATCCCAACCTCAAACCCTACACCCTAAAACCCGAAACACCTAACCTCCCTGAGCTGGCCCTTTAGCCTGACATGCCACATCGTTTCGGAAGGGTGTGACCTGGTGGACTTTCTTCAGTAGCCCCGAACGTGTGAACGTGTTTGCGTTCAGGGTTTAGGCTTGAGGCTGTTGACTCATCTACACCTACATATAGGCAAACGCAAAAAATATTGAGTACATACTACACCCTAAACCCTAAGCCATAAGCCTTAAGCACTAAGCCTTCGCCATGCCCGACACCCTTGGGAATCCAGAAGCTCTACGACTTGCAAACCCTGATCCCCTAAACCCCAAGCCTAATGAAGCGGTGGCTTGGGGGTTTAGGGTTCAGGAACTTCTCCGACAAAAGTGCCGCAGTTTGACCAGCATGCACCTGCTGGATGCCGAAACGCATCACAAGATTTCGTGGTACTTAACAACAAATTATAACTGTATTTATAACCCACTTATCAGCCCCTTGATTACCCTAACATGGTCATAAGTGGGGTTGTAAGTGCAAGTACTACTTGGTTAGTAAGTGCCATGAACCTCCCAGTAGACCCTAAGCTCTTCTAAACCCTAAACCCTAAACCCTAAACCCTAAACCCTAAACTGCATCACCCTAACTCCACAAACACAGCAAGGCGTCGCTGCGGAACTTCACCATGCTCTCACGGATGCGCAGCATGGACTGGTCGTAGAACTTCTTCCCGCTGAAGATCAAGGGCCTGACTTGGGGGTTTAGGGTTTAGGGTTTAGGGTTTAGGGTTTAGGGTTTAGGGTTTAGGGTTTAGGGTTTAGGGTTTAGGGTTTGGGGCCCCAAAACCCAAAACCCAAAACCCTAAACCCTTGGGGCATCGGGCCTATAGGGCTGGAGGTTGTAATGTTGAGGATTAAGGGTATAGGGTTTAGGGCATTTGGCTTTAGGGCCGACTGGGAGGATCCAAAAAGTAAATCGTAGCATAGGGTACTATTCTAGACCCGGGAGTAGCCAATGAAAAAAAGGGTACAAGTTTTGGTTTTAAGGGGATTATGAGGGAACCCCCAACCCCAAAAAAAGGAAAAATAGTCCCGGCTCCTAGTATTTGAGGGTTCTTCTTTGTGGTTCCTTCCAGGGGTCTGGGTAGACGATGCCCCCCGGCAAGTCGACAGTTCATAACGCCACCTTTCTTGAGTTTAGAGTTTAGGGTTTAGGGTTTTGGGTTTAGGGTTTTGGGTCAAAAGATTTTGGGTTAAAAGACAACCCTAAACACTGCAAGCCCGAAACCGCAACCACAGCAGTTTAGGGTGAGGCAAGGCTTGCCCAGAAGCTGCCCTGGGGACCCGTCGCCACAAAGCCCGGCCCTAGCTACTCGGGGATTCACTCACCCAGCCTTCGGCCAAAAAACTCCGAAATTCGGGGTTTAGGGTTTAGGATGCAGGGTGTACGGCCAGCACAGCTGCAGTATGCAAAGCCCCAAAACCCTAACATAGGGTTTAGGATTTAGGGTTTATGGGGTTTAGGGTTCCGAAATCCCCAAAACCCGAATACAGGGGCCTGAATAAATAGAATAGGATTAGGGGATACGGATCGAAGTCTGTGCGATGATGTTTGACGGGGGGGGGGGGGGCTATAGCTATATAGGGACCATTAGCAACTATTTCGTCCCCTATATTCACCAAACACCAATCTCTGCAAACAAGTGGCTTCAGCTTGTCCCAGGCAGTTTGCCCCGGGAGCAATCCCTTGCCGTAGGCCCGGATTGCAAATGCCTGGACAAGGTTCAGCGTTTAGGGTTTAGGGCTTAGCGTCTCAGGGTCCAGATCGCAGAGCTTGCTTTAGAGGGTTTAGGGTTTAGTTATTTAGGGTTTAGGGTTTAGAGGGAGGGGTGGGTATGTAACCGTTCCCTAATACTATCCGCTACTCCCTAAGACTCCCTAAACTTCCCTAAGGTTTGCTAGGTATCTACCCCCCTTTGAACTCCCTCCCTTGCGAACCCTATAGTGACTCGGGCTGCGGGTTCAAGGGTTTGGGGTGTATCGGACCCTTGGGTCCCCCCGCCTAATAGCGCGCGGCACGCTTTCAAATTCGAGTGCAGGTGGTTTAACACTCACTTGGGGTCAAAGTGATTCTAGTCCTCTTTGCCCTGAAGGTCTAGGAGTTCGGGAAGATGAGGGCCCATAAGTGGAAATTCAAGGCTTCCATTGAAGCAAACCACCCGCCTGCTTGACAGCTTCGCAGACAGTCTCCACGCGCCTCCACCAAGGAGCTGTGGGGGGGGGGGGGGGTTAGGGTTTAGGGTGTAGGGTTTTTCGGTTTAGGTTGGTTTTAGGTTCTAGGTTTGGGGGTGGGGTGGGGGTTGCACAGCCTCTCTCAGCCCGAAATGGAATTGTAGACTTGAGCTTGCAAACAATCCCTACTTGGAGGTTCGTGGTACTTACTCACCAAATAGTAATTGCACTTGTAATCCGCTTATAACCATGTTAGGGTATCAAGGGGCTCATCAGTGGGTTATAAATACAGTTATATAACTGGCTGTTAAGTAGGCCGCACCCCCAAGTTGATCTAACCCGGCATTGATCTTAATGTTTAGGATTTAGGGGCTAAGGGCTCAGCCCTAAACAAATCTCACCTTGACAACTCTAGAGACCTTTCTCAAGGACCCTACGGGGGGGGGGGGGGGGGGCTATCTTTGGACAATTGCCCCGTCACCATCTCCTACTAGTAGCAGCATCTTCGAGACCTTACGCGAGTCCTCGCTGCATGACAGAGGATCTCTTGGAGGGCCCATAGCCTCGACGTCTGAGTCCTCGCCGTCTGAGTCCTCGCCGTCGGCCTCGATCCGCCTGGATTACCAGCTGTGGCATTGCCAGCAAGCATCGAAGCCGGGACACTTCGAGAACCTCTGTGCAAGTATCCCTCGTCAACCCTCGATCCCTTCGAGTCGTCCATTCGGACACAGCAGGAAGGCATTTTCTGCGCCACTGGATTTAAGTGGGCATTCGGTTAGGAGCGGCCTGCTTTGCACAAGAAAAAAAAACCTCTGCTTGGCGCCCTGCATCTGGCCACGGTACCAGGACTCCGGCCGCAGAAGAGCGGGTTCTGCTTAGGTGGTGGAGGATGAAACCCCAAAGTTCTAAACCTTATTCTCCACAAGCTCCACCAAACCCTAAACCCCGAAACCCTGAGACCCTGAACCAAGGACCCTACACCCCCAAGCCCTAGCCCTAGGACCCAAACCCGAAGACCCTCAACCAGAAGTCGCTAAACCCAAAGACCTGTGAACCCGACACTCTAAACTCCAACTCCCCAAAACCCCTAATATCAAGGAGGTTTGTAAAAACGACTTTGAACTTTTTTCGACTTTGAGTTTCTGGTTGGGGGTAGGGTTGAAATGTTCAGAGGTTGTTCTCGTGGAGCCTGGGGTCTAGAAGCTTACAAGGCTGTGGGTTTACGGGCTTGGAGATGCATTGTTGATGATGGTGATGATGGTGATGATGTAGGGCGGGTAGAAGGGCTTCAAAGAAAGAGGTGCTTGGGGGTTTACGTGTTTCAGGGCGTCGAGTTTCGGATCCAAAGCTTGGGTTTGGGCTGCCGGGTTTAGCTGGTTGCGGTGGGGGGTAGGGGGTGGGGGGTGGGGGGTTGCGCGGCTGCCGGCTGCCGCCGCGGACCAAAGCCTTGCGTGGCAAGGCGGGGGCCTTCGGGTTTGCGGTTGGCCTTTAGATTTTTCCAGCGAGACCTTGCTGGTCTTGGCTGCCTTCCTTGCAACGGCCCAATCCCGCGACCCGGACATGGCGGCAGGTCACAGCCACAGCTTGAGCAGACAGAGGGCTGATGAGCATACCGCAGTACAGGAAGGCTGGACTTGTATCCGGCCCTGCGGAAGAGAAAGACCAAAACCCACAGCAAGGCACGACTGTCATGTGCAAAGCCAGAGTTTTTCAAATTTATCACCGGGGATGTGCGGTCGGATTTGTATCCGGCCCCGTGGATGAGAAAAGCTAAGCACCACATGAAGGCACGACTGTCATGTGCAAAGCCAGTTTTTGTATCACTGGGGACGCGCGGTCGGATTTGTATCCGGCCCCGTGGATGAGAAAAGCTAAACGACACCGGGGATGCACGGTCGGATTTGTATCCGGCCCCGTGGATGACAAAAGCTGAAAACCACATGACGGCACGACTTTCATGTGCAAAGCCAGGTTTTTTTTTTCACCGGGGATGTACGGTGGGATGAGTATCCGCCTGTACTAACGCTCAGCCACGCGAAGGTATTTGCCCATGGGGCCCCCAAAAAACCCTCGGACAGCCCCAGCGCATGTACGGTCGGATTTGTATCCGACTGTACTAGCCAAGGTAAAAAAACACACTGGCCTTGCACAGTCAAACCTTCAAGTTGTCTTCGCATTTTCTCATCCACCAGGCCGGAAGATCGGATTTGTATCCGGCCCCGTGGATGCCAAGAGTTCTCAGATTCCTCGCAGGGCCGGACCGGATGCCCGGATTTGTATCCGACCCCGTGGATGACGAAAGTCGTCCGATTGAGGGCCAAGGGGCCGGATTTATATCCGGCCCCGTGGAGTAAACACAAACCACCGACTCATGAGGGGCCGTATGGCCGGATTTGTATCCGACCCCGTGGATGAGAAAAGTTGTCAGATTGACTGAGGGCCAGGGGGCCGGTGATAAATTTGAAAAACTCTGGCTTTGCACATGACAGTCGTGCCTTGCTGTGGGTTTTGGTCTTTCTCTTCCGCAGGGCCGGATACAAGTCCAGCCTTCCTGTACTGCGGTATGCTCATCAGCCCTCTGTCTGCTCAAGCTGTGGCTGTGACCTGCCGCCATGTCCGGGTCGCGGGATTGGGCCGTTGCAAGGAAGGCAGCCAAGACCAGCAAGGTCTCGCTGGAAAAATCTAAAGGCCAACCGCAAACCCGAAGGCCCCCGCCTTGCCACGCAAGGCTTTGGTCCGCGGCGGCAGCCGGCAGCCGCGCAACCCCCCACCCCCCACCCCCTACCCCCCACCGCAACCAGCTAAACCCGGCAGCCCAAACCCAAGCTTTGGATCCGAAACTCGACGCCCTGAAACACGTAAACCCCCAAGCACCTCTTTCTTTGAAGCCCTTCTACCCGCCCTACATCATCACCATCATCACCATCATCAACAATGCATCTCCAAGCCCGTAAACCCACAGCCTTGTAAGCTTCTAGACCCCAGGCTCCACGAGAACAACCTCTGAACATTTCAACCCTACCCCCAACCAGAAACTCAAAGTCGAAAAAAGTTCAAAGTCGTTTTTACAAACCTCCTTGATAATGCCTAAACCCCCAAAACCCCAAAACCCACACCCCTAAAAAACCGAACCTTTCAAACCCCTAAACCCTAAACCCCCAAAACCCCCAAAACCCCCAAAACCCACACCCCTAAACCCGGAACCTTTCACACCCCTAAACCCTAAACCCAAAACCCTAAACCCTAAACCCTAAACCCTAAACCCTAAACCCTAAACCCCAAACCCTAAACCCCTCACCGAGGGGCATGTCGCGGCCGCCCGCTGCGACCCCCAGGCTCGCGGCGTGCTTCTCGCCGAGCACGGCCTTCGGTTCGGGGCTTTGGTGGTTTTAGGGTTTAGGGTTTAGGGTTTAGGGTTTAGGGTTTAGGGTTTAGGGTTTACGGTTTACGGCCGGGGTTTTAGGCTTGGGGGTGTAATATAGGGGCCTGAATAATGAGAATAGGGTTTTGGGGGGGTTACTATAGTACAATTATAAAGGGGCCCTAAGGGAATACTATTCGTACTTATTCCGACCCCTACATTAGGGTTTTAGGCTTTGGGGTGCAGGGTTGAGGGGTTGAGGGTTTAGGGGTTTAGGGATTGGGGTCTAGGGTTTGGGGTGCAGGGTTGAGAGGTTTAGGGTTTCGGGTTTTGGGGTTTAGGGCTTAGGGTCTAAGGTTTGGGGGTTTGGGGTCTAGGGTTTGGTTTCGGGTTTTGGAGTTTTTTGGAGGTTCGGGTTTAGGGTTTGGCGTTGAGGGTTTGGGGTTTAGGGCTTGAGGGTTTTAGGTTCAGGGTTTAGGGTTTGGGATTAGGGTAGTCCAGGGTTTTTTGGGGGGTTATATTGGGGTTGAGGGTTTGGAGTTTGGGGCTAGCGGCTTACTTTTTTTTGTTGCATAGAGGCGTTTTTGGACCTTAAGAGTTTCAAGTGCTGGGGACTTTTGGGGTTTGACCCTCTAAGCCCTGTAGGTTTCAGGGCTTCAGGGTTTTTGGGGTATCAGGGCTTAAGGGTTCTAATATCACCCTCAACCCTCAACCCTCAACCCTCACGGGGTTTAGGGTTTAGGGTTCAGGGTTTAGGCTTCAGGGTTTTGGGGGTGGGGCGAGTATAGGATAGGCCCCATAAACTCCGTAAAGGAACCCGCAAACCCAAACCCCACGAAGCAAAAAGAGCAGCTGCTTGGCAGCCTCTAACTTCTGCAGCAGCTCATTCCTGGGCAGCAAAGGCGGGAAGAAGCAAAGCATCAGAGCTTAGCATTTTGGGGATTCTCGACACTGAGGCCCCTTTTTGGGGTACACCCTACACATGATCGCTCTTCCCCCTTCTCCCCCCCCCCCCCGCCCCTAGTGATGGGGGGTACCAAGCCGGGCTCATGTGTAAATACAAGGCTCCGCATTAGAACGCTACTATTTGCTTAAGAGCCCCAAACCAATTAAGCAAAAAACACGGCAATACCTATAGTGCCGTGACAAGGCAGAATATTCGCTGTTTATTTTGGGTAGGCTTCTCTAGCAAATAGTAGAACCTTCAGGTAATTGCATGGCCCCTTAGTATGGCTCTTAAAAGGGAACCCGCCGGATCATAAAAACCCTAAACCCTATACCCCTAAACCCTCAACCCTAAAACCCTTAAACCCTAAAACCTACAGCCTACACCCAACAACCCCTAAACCCTAAAACCTACAACCCGTAAACCCGAAAACCCGAAACCCCCGTAACCCTAAACCCGACCCTCAACCCTCAACCCAACCGGATCTCAACAACTATAAACAACCCAACCCAAACCCTAAAACATACGTGCAACCAATGGGTGGGCAAACCATGCGTGCTGCGGGTAAACTTCTGGCACCAAGCGACGCCGAGACAAAGACGCTGAGCTCCACAAAAGTCTTCACCGACTCCCGCAGGGCCTTCAAAGATCTCCAGGCTTAAGTTTGGGGTTTGGGGTTTAGGGGCTCTTTATAGGGCTTTATAGGGCTTTATAGGGATTATAGGGCTCTTTATAGGGATTACAGGGCTCTTTATAGGGCTTTATAGGGATTTATAGGGATTATAGGGTTTGTGTGGCTGATATCGAGTCTTTATGACATCCAGGCAGAGTAGGGCTTGTAGGGCTTTATGGGGTTGTTTAGGGGGACGCTCTTAATAGGGCTTAAGAGGGCTTCGTAGGCTGTTTTGTGGGGTCTTCAGGGTCTTTGGGGTCTTTAGCAGGGAATAGGGTTTAGGGCCAGTTTAGGGTTTAGGGTTTAGGGTTTAGGGCCAGTTTAGGGTTTAGGGTTTAGGATTTAGGGTTTAGGGTTTAGGGTTTTAGGGTTTAGGGTCTTTAGCAGGTGTCAGGGGTCTCATGGTTTCTGCGTCTGAGGGGTGAGGGGGCGGGTTCAGGGGGCTTCGAGTTGAGGAAGCTTAAGGGGGCTTCCTAAGCCTAAACCCTAAACCCTAAACCCTGCACCCTAAACCCTAAACCCTAAACCCGAAACCCAAAGGGTCTTGGGGCCCCAAACTCGGAATCATAGGATTTGCTTGCGCGCGCCTCCACGCAGTCTCTCTCGAGCCGCTGCAGCTCGGCAAGCTGACTTTCCTCTCTTCGCAGGCTGCGAATTGCAGGGTTTAGGGCTTAGGGTTTAGGGTTTAGTTTAGGGTTTAGGGTTTAGGGTTTAGGGCTTAGGGCTTAGGGCTTAGGGTTTAGGGCTTAGGGTTTCGGGTTTAGGGTTGAGGGTCCTCCGAGATGTCCATCCCCGCGAGCTGACCGGAGACCTCGCCAGGCGGGGGTGCACTCTCTGAGGTCTCAGAGTCCCTGGGCCTAGCGAGTAGGGTTTAGGGTTGATAGGGTTTAGGGTTTAGGGTTTAGGGTTTAGGGTCTAGGGTTTAGGGCGTTTAGAGTTTCGGGCTTAGGGTTTACTTCATCCCCTTCGCTACGAGGCAGGAGGATAAGTTGAACCAAAAAGCCTGGATGCAGATGTGCATGTTGAGTTGCATGACGGGCCTTTTCTGGTCCCTGCTAGAGTATCATCCCTCCTTGGATTTGGGCATTACAAAGAGAACTTGGAGGGGGTGAGGGTCCAGGGCAAGTTGGGATATGTGCAGGATGGGTTTAGGGTTTAGGGTTTAGGGACGAGGGACTATAGTCGTAACTTGCTTGGAATCCACTTCGGATCTCCCGGGAGCCTCCAGGATTCTCGTTTTGGGGAAAACTCCCTCCCAGAAGGCCATACTGCAGTACGCGCTAAGGTATTAGGGTTTAGGGTTTAGGGTAGAAAGTCATTAGTTTTGGCCTTTTCTTAGGAGGGGGAGGGGGGGGAACCGGGTTTGTGGGGGGACACGATTACTTGCGTGCAGAGGTTCGGGGCCAACACTTCCTAGATCAACTCACACATCTTCGCTGTCGGGCAAGCCTTGAAACCACATGCGTGCGCTCTGCCTTTGCTCTTTTGTGGGAACTATGTTCTTGTGGTCATCTCTGGTGTGGCAATCCTCGCAGGCCTACAGCCATGCAACAAGAAGGCCGATTGGCCTACCTTGCCCTGCGCGGGCCCGCGAGGCTGAGGGCTGCGTAGTGCGCCAGCGACGGCAATCTCCATGCTCGTGCGTACGAGGGCAGAACGCAGCCATTCCGCCGTGGGTTGGATAGTAGTGTAGCTCACCTGCGTTGTTCGGGAGGACAAACTTGACCTCCCCACCCCCAGCCCAGCCCCTGTTCCGCCCACGACGAGGTGGCGGAGGCGCAGCAACAGCTGCCTCATCTTGCGCCGCCCCCTCCTGGGACAAAGCCTCATGTAGGGTTTAGAGGATGATTCGGGCTTTTACGTCCGGCTTACGCGCTCTAAGCAGCCGGGCCGAAATCTGACAGGTCTCACAAGGCCAAGACTAAAAAAGAGAAAACCTTATTAACCGATTACATCGAAGAGTTAGGGCTTAGGGCCTAGGGTTTAGGGCTAGGGTTTAGGGTTTAGGGTTTAGGGTTTAGGGTTTAGGGTTTAGGGTTTTAGGGTTTTAGGGTTTTAGGGTTTTAGGGTTTTAGGGTTTTAGGGTTTTAGGGTTTTAGGGTTTTAGGGTATTAGGGTTTTAGGGTTTTAGGGTTGTAGGGTCTTTAGAGTTTGGGGCTGAGGGCCGCACCTCCTCCAGCTTGCCGCACACGTCGCCCACCACGCCTTGGACCTGAGATGACCCCAAATTCCTGCCCCGGACCCTAGACCCTAAACCCTAAACCCTAAACCCTAAACCCTAAACCCTAAACCCTAAACCGGACACCTGGACCTTGAAACAAACCACCAAGTCTGACGGACCTTGAAGCAAACCACCAAGTCTGACACGCTGCTTCCCAAATACGACGGCCCTGAACTCTCAACCAAGCATTCGAAACAATACACACACACTAGAAAAAAAACTTTGCCACACATCTCTCTCCCCTCATATCCCCAAAATCCAAAATCCCGAGTCCTTATCAGGAGGGCAAGCTGCGACTGAATGTTTCAGGGTTTTGCGGTTTAGAAGGGTTTTAGGGCGCAGTGGTGTTTAGGGTTTTGTGGCTTAGGGCTTACTAGGATTTAGGGCTTGGCAGGGCTTAGTGAGGCTTTGGGATTAGGATTTAAGTTTAAGGGGTCTGACTGTTCCACGTTGTGTGTGTGTCTCGTGGCGGCAGGCTCTTCTCCGATCTTCACATTTGGGCGTCGCAAATGTGCCACTCCATGCGTCGCAACTTCCCCATGATAAACCCTAAACCCTAAACCCTAAACCCTAAACCCTAAACCCTAAACCCTAAAGCACGCAGCCAGTGAGCCGCGCGCTGCTGAAGCGCCGGGCTGAGCACCAGTAGCAATGTGTCGGCCGTCATGACATGGCTCCGGGTGCCACTTGTAAGTTTAGGGTTTAGGGTTTAGGGTTTAGGGTTTAGGGTTTAGGGTTTAGGGTTTAGGGTTTAGGGTTTAGGGTTTAGGGTTTAGGGTTTAGGGCACAGCTTGGCCCTTGCGGACCACTTTCCAGGCACGCCTACGGTGCAGGCGTGATCTTCCCGTCTGGCACACAGAACGCTAGAGGGCCTCTGGTCCGGCTTTAGTGTTGGAGGGGGTTTTAGGGATTCGGGTTCGGGGACAAGTAAGGCTACAACTGGGGCCCTATTCGGAATACTTCTGACTTATAGCCCTCTGGTATAACCCTAGTTGTAGCTACCCGGCTACCCATCTACACCCAGCCCTGCCGCCCTGCAAACCTAAACCCTTAAACCCTTAAACCCTTAAACCCTTAAACCCTTAAACCCTTTAAACCCTTAAACCCTTAAACCCTTAAACCCTTAAACCCTTTAAACCCTTAAACCCTTAAACCCTTAAACCCTTAAACCCTTAAACCCTTACACCCTTAAACCCTTAAACCCTTAAACCCTTAAACCCTTAAACCCTTAAACCCTTAAACCCTTAAACCCTTAAACCCTTAAACCCTTAAACCCTAATCGGCAGCAAGGGGGCCGTCTGGAAGAAGGGCTCGCAGCGCTTTCGCGCCTTTTGGGCAATGCAGGGCTCGGGGCTTCACGGTTTGGAGCTTAGGGGCGACTTTAGGGGATTTTAGAGTGTTTGGAGCGTAGGGAACCCTAAAGCCTACAGCCTAAACCCTAAAGCCTAAAGCCTAAACCCTAAACGCTAGACCCTAAACCCTAAACCCTAAACGGTTTAGGGTTTAGGGTTTAGGGCTTAGGGCTTAGGGACGTTCAGGGCTTTAAAAGGGTCTCCGTGAGGGCTTGAGGCCGAGGATTGAGAAGTTCAGCTCATTAAGAACCCTTGGGAGGGGCCTTGAGGGTGTCAGATCGTAGGCTTTGATGTTTGTTTCGGGGTTTAGGGTTCAGGGGTTCGGCTTTGTAGGGCTTGGTGTTCAGGAACTCGGGTTTATAGGCTTTGGTGTTTGTTTCGAGTTCCTGCTAGCCAGCTTGGGGCTGTGAACCAGCATGGGAGATCTTTAAGTACCCTAAACCCTAAACAGTAAATCCTAAACCTTAAACCCTAAACCCACCCCCCTTCTAGCAACATTCTGGCTGAGATTTCTAGGGGAAACAGCTTGACATTTTGGGCTTAGTAGGACAGGGTTTAGGGTTTAGGGTTTAGGGTTTAGGGTTTAGGGTTTAGGGTGTAACCCTAAACCCTAAACCCTAAACCCTAAACCCGAAACCCTAAGCCCCGAATATGGTTAAGGCTTACCTACGCAGCGCCTCAGGCCCGAAGGCCTCTCAAGGCCTCGACCGTAAACCCCAACAAGCCTCTCAAGGCCGCAACCCTAAACCCCTAAACCCCTAACCCAAAACCCCGAAACCCTAAAGCCCAAAACCCGAAATCCAAAAAAACCTTGAACCAAAACCCTAAAGCCTAAAACCCTAAACCCCAAAACCCCCAAAAAACAACAAACACCCAAAACCCCAAAACCCAAAAGCCCTAAACCCCAAAAGCCCTAAACTACCCCTAAACCCCTAAACCCCAAAAGCCCAAAAGCCCAAAACCCCAAAACACCAAAACCCCAAAACCTAAACCCTGAACCCCTAAACCCCAACACCCAACACCCTAAACCCTAAACCCCAAACCCCAAACGAGAGCCGGCTGCCTTCGAAGGCAGCTCGGTGCGCTGCAGTCCACGCCTGCCGCCTTTGCCTGCCCCAAAAGGGCGGGAGTTTGGGGTTTAGGGGTTTAGGGGTTTAGGACTTTAAGGGTTTAGGGGTTTAGGGGTTTCGGGGTTTAGGGGTTTAGGGCCTCAAGTTTAGGGCTTTGGGGTTTAGGGCTTTAGGGGGGGGGGTAGGATGAAGACCCGCTTGCTGGTTTAGGTACGTAACTCCAAAAATGGCATATGTGGGATGTAAGGGAAGGTGGTTTAGGTCGTAGGCTTAAAGCCGTAAACCCTAAACCCTAAACCCTAAACCCTAAACCCTAAACCCTAAACCCTACCCTAAACCCTAAACCCTAAACCCTAAACCCTAAACCCTAAACCCTAAACCCTAAACCCTAAACCCTAAACCCTAAACCCCTTTGGGGCAGCTTCGGCTAGGGTTGGAGACCGAGACCCCCATCACATACGGTTTCTGTAGTTTGGGACCGTGAGGTTTCTGTAGGCTTCTGGGGTCCCCGAATCAACCCCTAACCCCAAACTCTAAACTCCCAAACCCAAAACCCGAAACCTAACAAAAACCTTAAACCCAACTCTAGACCCGAAACCTACAAACATAGAGCAAACACCCTAAACCCCTAAACCCCTAAACCCCTAAACCCCTAAACCCCTAAACCCCTAAACCACTAAACCACTAAACCCCTAAACCCCTAAACCCCTAAACCCCTAAACCCCTAAACCCCTAAACCCCTAAACCCCTAGACCCCTAAACCCCTAAACCCCCTAAAACCCTAACCCCCTAAACCCCTTACCCCTAACCCCCTAAACATGGAGTATTTGCAGGCTTTGCTTTGGTTGCGCCGGCGCCTACGGTGATCTGGGTGCCGAGGTGGAAATCCAGCGAGACGCGCATGCCACCTGGGAGCGGGTGGTAGGAAGGGTTTAGGGTTTAGGGTTTAGGTTTTAGGGTTTAGGGTTTAGGGTTTAGGGTCTAGAGTTCTAGGGTTTAGGGTTTCGGGTTTAGGGTTTCGAGTGTTGGGTTTAGGGGTTTAGGGGTTTAGGGCTTAGGTTTTTAGGATTGCGGGTTTTAGGGGCCAGGGTTTCGCCAGACCTTCACGGTACAGCTCCCTCATGCCAGAGACCAGCCTGAGGATGTAGTTAGGTCTACAAACCACCCAAAACCCCTCAGCCCCCTCAACCCCCTAAACCCCTTAACCCCCTAAACCCCCTCAACCCCCCAAAACCCTGAGCCCTAGACTTCTCGGTTTAGGACTTAGGGCGCGTCTGTTCTTCGCATCTCATGCGAAGCTAGGCTGGGCTCTGACGAAACACTCTCACGACTTTAGCCTTTTGGTTGGGATGTGGGGTTCAGATTGGGATGTTCCCGATTCTTGCTAAAAGGTCCTTAATGGGGATTATACCACCCCTGTTAGAAACCCAGGGTTTTCAGTTCAAGGCTGAGGGTTAGGGTATGGGGTTCAGGGTGTGATTAGAGGTTCAGGGCTTTATGAGTTTATGTCCAAGGTTCACAGGATCGGCCCCTCATGTGGGTGGGCCTTTGGCGTCTTGGGGGGAATATAGCAAACCCAGCAAGGCGTAAGATTCATAAAGCCCATTTTGAGATACTTTGAGACTTTATGTCGGGGCGAGGGACCCACCCCCTGGGGCACCATGCGACATAACGGGGCTCCCGCTTGTGGTGAACCCTACCTAACTAAGGTACATGAACGATTGCCTGAACTTCGAACTTCCCAAGGGCCCTATAGGCCCGTACACCCTGAACCCAAAATTGTACCCGAAACCCTGAACCCCCTAAACCCTAAAATTTAAACCCTAAACCCTAAAACCCTAAAACCCTAAAACCCTAAAACCCTAAAACCCTAAGACCCTAAAACCCTAAAACCCTAAAACCCTAAAACCCTAAAACCCTAAAACCCTAAAACCCTAAAACCCTAAAACCCTAAAACCCTAAAACCCTAAAACCCTAACACCCTAACACCCTAAACCCTAAACTCTAATGAGCCCCGGAAGCCTAAAACCTAAGCTTCCCGGCCTTCCAGGGCCATTTCGAAGCGGCACTTCGAATGGTCTTTTGGCCGGCCCTCGGCGACCCAGCGCTGGTACTCCTCAGGGTTGCTAGGGCTTGGGGTTTAGGGTTTAGGGTTTAGGGTTTAGGGTTTAGGGTTTAGGGTTTAGGGTTTAGGGTTTAGGGTTTAGGGTTTAGGGTTTGGCTTGGGGTTTGGGGTTTCAGGGTTTCTAGGGCTTGGGGTTTAAGGGTTTCACAAAGGGTTTAGGGCTTAGGGCTTAAGGTAAGTTTAGGGGTTGAAGCCTTCTCAGCTTCTTCCTAAGAGGTCATTCAGTTTGGAGATTGAAACAATAAGCCCTCTAGGATCCTTTGTCGCACTTTTCCGGAGTTCATTCCCCCCCCCCTCCGAAACCATACTACCATAAGAGTATTATAGGGTTCTTAAGGGAGACCTAGGGAGAATTGGGGAAGCTTAGGGAGCCCCCTTGAACCCTAAACTCTCAACCCCCAAGAGTACCGCAAGCGTATCCGACGCCTCGAAAACCCTAAGACCCTGCGCCAAACTCCTCTTCAACGCGCTGGCTGTCGTGCTCTTTGAAGGCGTGCCACCTCTCCTCAGAAAGAATAGCCCTAAACCCTAAACCCAAACTCAAACCCTTCACCTCAATATCTGCCTGAAACCAGGTACCCACCCTACCCTAAACTCCAAACGCTGTACCTATTTTGGAACCCCCTCTCTGAACCGAAAACCCTGCACTGAAACTGCCTTGAGAAGGAGAACTTCGCAAGCTTGCTGAGATATTGTGGCACCATGGAGGGGATGAAGGAGAGGAGAGCCACGATTCTAGGGTTTAGGGCTTAGGGTTCCGGGTTTATGGTTCAGGATTTAGGGTTTAGGGTTTTCAGGGTTTAGGGCTCAGGGTTTAGGCGGTTTAGGGTTCAGGGCTCAAGGCTCAGGGCTTCGGGGACGGATTAGCTAGTTCTACTTGCGGGACATTGTTCCGTTTCAAGCTTGGGGTAGCCGTTTGATGTAAGGCTGCAGGGACTCCGAGAGTAGCAGCCTTTCAGCTAGGCAGTCAGTAGGCCTAAACTCTAAACCCTAACCTTCCCTTAAGAACCCCAAGACCCACTGTTCTTGGTAGGTTACCCAAGAATCTTGTGAGGGATTTTAGGATTGACAACCTACAAAAAAGAGTAGGTTTTGGGTTTTGGGTTCTTAAGGTAGAATTAAGTTATGTTCTTCCTCTAGGTCCTATAGGTCCTAGAAGCAGGCGTAGGGCTTGCGATTGAATACTAAACCCTGCACCCTGAATCCTCAACCGTGATTAGAAGTAGCACCTATACCCTAAACCCGAAACCCTAAACCCTAAACAAATAACCCTAAACCCTACACCCCTCTTGGAGGCTGGTACAAAGTAGGACTAAAGTAGGAGTTCCCTGAAAGGGGACCTGTTTGGGACTATCCTACTTAATGACGCTACTGATTACCTACTTGCTAAGCCCCCCCCCCCCCCCCCACTCCAAGTACATAGTATCCGTAAACCGAAACCCCTAAAGCCTAAACCCTAAATCCCCAACCCAGAGTACCTCCGTGGCACATTAGTTCATGCTGCAGCTGTTTCAGGTTTATAGCGTTTGTAGGAATCAGGGGCTTTTAGGGTTCATAGGGTTCATAAGGTTCAGGGTTTCGAGGTTTAGGGTTCACTGCAATTTCAAAATGGCAAGGCTTGAACATTCTCCAAGTTTAAACCCTAAACCCCAAACCCTGTACACCCTAAACCCCAAACCGTGTACACCCCAAACCCTGTACAGCCCAAACCCTCTAAACCCCAAAAGCCTGTAAACCCCAAACCCTGTAAACCCCAAACCCAGCACACCCCAAACCCTGTAAACCCTGCAAAGCCTGTAAACCCTGCAAACCCTAAACCCAGCAAACCCTGCACCCTAAACCCTAAACCCTGCACCCTGAACCCTAAACCCTGAACCCTAAACCCTAAACCCTAAACCCCAAACTCCAAACTCTAAGCCCACAGAAGACTTCGAGCGGCGGCTTTCTTGCTCCGGCCCCGGTACTGCCACACGGTGCCCATGCTGCGGGTGCGCTCCTGGTCGGGTTTAGGGTTTAGGGTTTAGGCTTTAGGGTTTAGGGTTTAGGGTTCAGGGGTTAGGGTTCAGGGCTTAGGGGGTTTAGGGGATTTCGGGGTTTTAGGGGTTTTAGGGGTTTTGAGGGTTTTAGGGGTTTTCGGGGTTCTAGGGGGTTTGGGGGTCTCAGGTTTTAGTGGGTTCAGGGTTAGGATTTAGGGGGTTTTGCTGCTAAGGGTCTACCGTTTATCTAAACTTGACTTAACCCTGTACCTGAAACAAAGGCAGATACCCATTTACATAGTAGAATTGAGCAATTAAGTGCATCAGCAACCTTAGGGTTCAGAGAGCAAAAGGGCGTAGAGCCCTTCAAGCACTGAACCCCCAAACGTTCCTCCCAGCGAAGCCCCAAACTGAAACCCCGAAGCCCCTTGCTTGAATCGGGTTTAGGGTTTAGGGCTTAGGGCTCAGGGCTTAGGGTTTAGGTTTCCCCCTCCCGCTCCGCCACGAAAGAAGAGAGAACGTATCAACTCGTCCCACCCTAAAACCCGGAACCTTCTCCACCCCACGCCCACCCCCACTCCACCCCGCTTCTTAAACCTGTGCTGCCCTAAACCCTAAACCCTAAACCCTAAACCCTAAACCCTAAACCCTAAACCCTAAACCCTAAACCCTAAACCCTAAACCCTAAACCCTAAACCCTAAACTGCACACCTCGGGATCCATGGCCGACGTCTCATCCAGAAGCTCCTGCTCATGCGGGCTTGGGTTGGTTTATTGCTGGAGTTGAAGAGCGAATCGGGGGAGTCGATCCCGCTACGCACATCTTGTTAGGTAAGATAGGCTGTTTAGGGTTTAGGTTGGGATGGTCCTTAATAGGGATTATTCCGGGATTATAGTACCCCCGATTAGAATCCCTATTAAGGACTGGTAGTATAAGGAGGAACATCCCAAGGTTTAGTGTTTAGGGAGGATGCCCCATAACCTTACTGACATCCTCGACAAGTAGCTTGCCCACGCTCATCCTCAGCTCCAGCTTAAGGCACTAACGACTCAAAACAGGTCTGAAGACTAGGGTTTAGGGCTTTAGGGTTTAGGCTTTAGGGTTTAGGGTTTAAGGTTTAGGGTTTAGGGTACCTTACGGCGTCTTAGTAGCCTGGAGAATCCCTCGAAGACTTCTACAGGTGATAGGAGGTGCCAAAGTTCCCCAACTCCAGATTAAGAACCAGTACGCCTTCTAGGCTGCCCAGCAACCAAGGCTTAAAAAGGGTGCCCTTTCTTGCTTAAAGGGGTTCATAAGGGAACCTAAACCCCCCCAAAAAGGGAATAAGGGTACTACTGCGCATCCTAGCCTTTACGAGCTTTGTTGGGTTTATGCTCTCCTGGACCGCGCCGCCTCGGTCTTTTTACTATGATGCAAGATGTTATTCAACAAATGAGAATCGGGAGAGGAGATTGAAAGCCCCTAAACTCTGCAGACGCGCCATGCCCAAAAGAGGCCACACAATTAGGGTTTAGGGTTTAGGGTTTAGGGTTTAGGGTTTAGGGTTTTGTGAGGGCGGCATAGACCCCAGCAAGCCACTGCTTCTGAGGGCGGCGCGGGAACAAGCCCTTAGTAGTACGAAGGGACCTTGATAGGAACATGGGCAGGGCTATGCTCCTTCTATATACTTCTGGGGTTTCCCTCCAACCCTGAGACCTGAACCCCTGAACCCTGAACCCTGAACCCTAAACCCTAAACCCTAAACCCTAAACCCTGCACCCTGAACCCTAAACCCTGAACCCTGAACCCTGAACCCTGAACCCTGAACCCTGAACCCTGAACCCTAAACCCTAAACCCTAAACCCTAAACCCTAAACCCTAAACCCTAGCCCTAAACCCTAAATCCCCTACGGAACCGCCGAAACTCCAAGGCATCCCGGGCCTGCCGCTCAGCGTCCAGCTCATGGAGCCTTCCGAAGCGCTTTTAGGGTTTAGGGTTTAGGGTTTAGGGTTTAGGGTTTAGGGTGACCCGAGACTAGCCTAGGAATGGAAGGGTGCCCTTTTTGGTGTGTCAAGGGGGGTTTAGAGGGCGTTGAGTTTACCGGTGACAGAGGGTTGAGGGTCTGGGTTGGAGTAGACTGGGTGTTTTTCTGTGCCTAACCTGGGCTTGGGGGACTGGGTTTAGATGGTATAGACATCGCCTTCATTCTTCCGAACCCTGCACCCTAAAGCCTAAACCCTAAACCCTAAACCCTAAACCCTAAACCCTAAACCCTAAACCCTAAACCCTAAACCGCCCCTGCACCGGTAGAGGATTGACGGAGTTCAGGATTCAGGTCTCAGGCTCTTAGGACCTTTATCCAGACCCAGGAGGGGTGCCCTTTTTGGTCCGAGGCCGCGAAAACAGGGGAACAAGGGCCTACTTCTACTTGGGGTGCTGATAGCCCTAAACCCAAAACCCCAAACCCTAAACTTTGCAGGGGTGTTACATACACCAAAAAAAACAGACATCGGGCTTGGAGTTGAGGGATTCAGGTTGGGAGGTTCCCCCTTAAACTAACAGTCCCTAATTGGGATTATAATCGGGGTATTCTAATCCCTCCCAAGGACAGTTAGTATCCCTAAACCCTAAACCCTAAACCCTAAACCCTAAACCCTACTAAGGACTGTAAGGGGGAACATTCCAAGATTCAGGGTTTGGTCCCTGGCAGGCCTGTTGGTGCTGTCCGTGAGCGCGGTGCTCAACATCTGGACTGCTTCCTGCAAGGGTTTAGGGTTTAGGGTTTAGGGTTTAGGGTTTAGGGTTTAGGGTTTAGGGCTTAGGGTTTAGGGTCTAGGGTTACCCGAAAAACCCCTGGTTGCGGACAAGGAGCGTATGTTACGGCCTGGATTAACTCCATACCCTAAACCCTAAACCCTAAACCCTAAACCCTAAACCCTAAACCCTAAAGAGAGCCACGTCCGGGAGCTCTAACGGTATAGGCTTTGGGGCTTGCTGTTCGATATCCGGATCCACCTGACACAACTCCAGATGTCAAAAAGCATCGAGTCTTCACTGGAATAAACTAACCCAGCTTGTGATCTTTGTGAACTCTGACACTAAATGCCCGAAAACAATTTCCATTTTCAAACGCCCTAATGTCAGCCCCCCCCCCCCCACACACACACACAAGCCAGAAAGCCGGAAAAGACAGGCTTATGAACACCTCTCAACCCCTGTGGTCCACCCACCTGAACAAAACTTCCTCCCACCAGCGGAAGAGGGCCACCATGAACCCGGGTTTCCCCCAAACCCAAACCCTGAAAAACCCTTAAAACCCATGAGAACTCTTGAAACCCTTAACACCCTCAAATCCCTTAAAACCCTCAAAAAACCCTTAAAACCCCATAAGAACCCTTAAAAAACCCTTAACACCCTTAAATCCCACTAAAACCCTCAAAAACCCTTAAAGCCCTTGAAATCCCTGCAAAATGTGCGCCTCGTAGGAGAGCTGCGGTCTGGTCACCAGGTGGACCGAGCTGATCGGGATGTGGATCTCACCTGCACAGGGCGGAGCGTGTAACAAGGGGCCTGAAGGGAGGGGTTTAGGGTTTAGGGTTTTAGGGTTTAGGGTTTAGGGTTTAGGGTTTAGGGTTTAGGGTTTAGGGTTTAGGGTTTAGGGTTTAGGGTTTGGGGCTTTGGGTTTAGGGTTTAAGGGTCTAGGGTTTGGGTTTAAGGTTTAGGGTCGAGGGTCTTGGCTTTGGTCCGGAGCACGTGCAGAAGGTCCATAAAGGGGCGGGGGCGGGGGGGGGGGGGGGGGGGTTGGTTTTCCATGGAAGCGCATATAGGGTTTCTGTTGTGAGGGCGGGGCGGGGGGGGGGGGGGGGTTGGGGGGGGGTGGGGGGGTTGGGGGGGTTTGGGGGGTTGGGGGGGTTGGGGGGGGGTTGGGGGGTTGGGGGGGGCGGGGGCTTGATATGTATTCTCAGAAGTTTACAGGGTTTGTGTTTCTTAGGCTTTAGTGCAAAGAGCACTTGCAGTCATGGCAGACGAATGGTCCGTATATTGCCCTTCTCCTTTTGTCGGATAAGGGCGGGAGTTGGTTCAGAGAACAGAGCGTTGAGGTTTGGGAGTTGACACAGGACTTACAGGGTTCACAAGGGTTCGAGGGCTTCTATACGGTTTCATCAGGGGCCCCCTGAACTGCCCCCTCCCTTCGCCGCCCCCCCCCCCCCCCCTCGGACTCCCAAAGCCCCCTAAACCCTAAACCCTCACCTTAGACCTATGAAGCCCGAAGCCCAAACCCTAAGCCCTAAGCCCTAAGCCCTAAACCCTAAACCCTAAACTCTAAACCCTAAACCCTAAACCCTAAACCTATGAAGCCCGAAGCCCAAACCCTACACCCTGAAACACGAACCAGTGAGTCCAAGACACAGAACCCTAAACCCTGAACCCTGAGCCCTAAACCCAAAACCCTAAACCCTGAACCCTAAACCCTAAACCCCAGAACTAGCCGGCCTCCTTTATCCTCCGGGTCATCGTGGGAGTACCTCCCAGAAACCCCTAAACCCCAAACCCCTAAACCCTCCCTTAACCCGAAAAAGGGGGAGGTTTGGGGTTTTGAGGGTTCAAGGTCTAGAGTGCAGGCAGAAAGGCTGCGAGACAAGAACTGGGCTGGGGGACCTACTTCTAAGGGCGGGGGGGGGGGGGGTTTCATTTCTACAGGGTTCCGAGTTGAGCTTTTAGGGTTTTGAGTTTAGGGTCTGGTCTAGGGGCACAACAACCCCTTGCAACAAAATCATGGCGCTGAGGACTTACGTAGGGTTTAGGTTTAGGCTTTAGGGCTTGCGCAAAGGTGGCCCTCGCTGGTTTCTACTCCGGACCCGAACATTTGCCACTTCTCCTGGGCCTTGAGCATCCTCACCCAGACCCCCGGGAGGATCCATAAAGTAGATCCCCCAAAGGGTTCCTAAAAATGTCCGAGTAGTAGTCTTAGGGTACTACTTGGGGGTTCTACATTTTGGATCCTGCCAGGGGTGTGGGTATAGCAGGACTGCGTGTGTAGCGTTTGGGGGTTTAGGGTCTAGGGGCTTGCCGTGGGCCTTCTGACTGTTACAGCAGGCCGGGGTTGAGAGACAAACGGGTCATAGGCAAGCTGTTTACAGTTATATACCACTGGCAAGAACCGTACTTGGGTTTAGGGTTTAGGGTTTAGGGTTTAGGGTTTCGGGTTTAGGGTTTAGGGTTTAGGGTTTAGGGTTCAGCATGATCCTCCAGCTAGCAGCTAGCCTACCTCCTCAATCCTCAATTTCTGGGGGCTTAGGGGGTTATAGCTACCCTAAACCCTAAACCCTAAACCCTAAACAAACACACCACACCCATTCACAATGAAAACCGAGGAAACACATACACACCACTGCAAGGTCACTGTTTTTTTGATTTGGTGTTCAGAGAACGCACACTGCAAAGACCTAACCCTAGTTAAGGAAGAAAGGGTCGTGCGACACCTCTAGATCCCAAGACCCTGCGGGACGAGGGCGGGTGCTGCTCTGGGCAAGTTGGCATCAGGCCGGCGGCTCCTTAGGCAAGAGGCCTCCGGGCCTGATAGGCGGCATACACTCCACTTTGGGAGGCAATAGGCGTGGCGGCGATTGCAGTGGCGATTGCAGTGCAGAGAGTTTGGCATCGTGATGCGCAGGGCAAGGGTCCAGCTGGGCAAGACCAAACAGGTCATGATTCTTCTTGGCGGGCGCGGCATCACAGGTGGCAGTCTTGCCATCTTCAATGCACCTAAACCCTAAACCCTAAACCCCTATAGGGCTTCGGGCAAATACCGCCTGCAGCGGTCGCCAAAGACGCAGTTCCCCTTGGCAAACTGGCGGCAGGGGATGTGGCTGCGGTCTCCTCACAGTTAATGGGGTTTAGGGTTTAGGGTTTAGGGTTTAGGTTTAGGGTTTAGGGTTTAGGGTTTAATGTTAGGGTCACCTTTATAAACCGGGTGTCAATAGTGGCAACTTTTCCGGCCGGGATTTTTGCCCAAAAGTTTGTTTCATGAACAGTTTCCATTATGTTAGGCTGCCCCGAACCCTAAACCCCATTTTGAGGGGGGTCGTAATCAAAAAACGGGTGGTAATAGTGGAAACTTTTCCGGGAGAATTTCCCAAATGTGCTTCCGAGAGTACTCCTCTTTTCACTCGAGGCCGAGACCACACAGCTTCATTTTGCCGATCTCTTGAACCGGCTCCAGGCTCAGAAATCCTGATCTTCGTGGCTGACCGAAAAGCATCGATTTCTTCTTAAAATCCTTCTAAAAAACAGCTCCCGAACAAATCCGCCAAGGCTACCCCCCACGAGGCCTCGAAATCGTAATAATAAAGGGTGACATTAATAAAGTCCGGCGAACGGGGCGATGCCGGTCTGGGACTCTCTTCCATCAGCAAGCCTCTTTGGCTACTTACTGACAGCAATCCAGACCCAGCCCATCCCCCCCCCTTTACTATTACCACCCCGACCCCTTTCAAAGTTTGTTTGGACCCAGCGCCGGAACAAATCCGGGGGGGGGGGGGGGTTTATTAAAGCGACCTTAACATTAGGGTTAAACAACGGTAAACCCCAAGGCCTAAACCCTAAACCCTCAAGCGTAAAGGCTAAACTTTGACATAGGGAAACCTAGACCCCAGAATTGGTTCTCTGATTTCCTGCAGGGAGAACGCCCAAGAAAACCCTAAACCGTGAACCCTCACTAAACCGTCAAACATATTTGAGGCAACAGGTAACACTTCGACCAGGCAAGAGGTGACGCCCAGCAACTATGAGTTCGTCTAAGCCCCGGCCCCTTCGTACTAAGTCCCCCTGGCCTTCTGCTAACTTCGTCTCTCCTTTCCTGAGTTCCCCTTAAACCCTAAACCCTAAACCCTAATCCCTTGGGCCCTCTTTGATCCCAGTTGGCAAAGTTCGCGGAGCCCCGGCCCCGGCTTTTCGTGGAACCGGTGCCTGTTATAGGGTTCTTAAGGGAGGGGGGGGGGTTTAGGGTTTAGGGTTTAGGGTTTAGGGTTTAGGGTTTAGGGTTTAGGGTTTAGGGTTTAGGGTTTAGGGTTTAGGGTTTAGGTTAGGGTTTAGGGTTTAGGGTTTAGGGTTTAGGGTTTAGGGTTTAGGGTTTAGGGTTTAGGGTTTAGGGTTTAGGGTTTAGGGTTTAGGGTTTAGGGTTTAGGGTTTAGGGGTTTAGGTCTTAGGGTTGGTTCATGGGGGGTAGAAGGAAGCTTCGGGAGCCTTAGGGAGTATGGTAGTGCGGAGTACTAGGGAACCTTGGGTTGCATACCCCCTTTGAACCCCCCCCCATTAGGGTTTAGGCTTTCAGCATCTTGAAGCGCGAACACAAGCCCCAACGCCCGAAACACCTTGAGACCCCTGAGTCAGGCGTGAAAGCCCTCACCGAAAGAACTTTCAGGCTTGTTGGGTTCCCTAGGCAGGAGTGAACCTGCAGGCAATGTGTGGCTCCTGGCGTACCGCCCTGGTCGTGCGAGTAGCGGCATCGATCGCCGTACCTTTGGGCCCCCTCGAACTCACAACCCTGGACCCAAAACCTCCCCAAAGCCTCCAGCCTGATCCCTGAGCCTCAAACCCCTAAGCACAAGTAACCCCAAACTCTAAACCGGTTTTCGGGTTTATGTGAGGGTTACAATATTGGCGCCGGCGCGTCAACAGAATTTCGCGACCTGCTTGAATGGCAGCATTCAGAAGTCTTCCTGAAACACAAGCACCTCTAAACATGCATATCAAAGCTATGGCCACATTTTTTTGAAGGGGAGTTGTACTTTACACATAGGCTTGTGTCTCTGTTGCATGATGGGAACCCAAGAGTTGAATAACTGACCTCTTGAGGTACGAGGGAAGAGCTACAACGGGGCGCCATTATCGGGGTTTCCCGAAATAGTGGTACCCCTTTTATATCCCAAACTGAATAAAATCCCCTTAAAGGGACTCCTAAAAAAGGGGTACCCCCAATTTTCGGAAACCCCTTGCTCGGTCGACACACTGCAGTGGAACGCTGCGGCCTAGCTGCTTGCAGTGTCCCTTCACGAACTCGCGGCAGAGGGTTTTGCCTCACAGGGTCTGGGCTTTACCTATGTATACTCTACTAACCCTATACCCTAAACCCTGAACTCCTAATCCCTTACGTGAACAATGAGTCCCCAACCTCTGGCAGAGCAAACCATAACGCCCCCAGCATCCGAAGTAACTCTCTTGAGGTCCGCATACCTACAGGATAGGTTTAGGATTTTGGGTTTAATTATAGGGTTAGCCCTGAACCCCCTGAAACCCGTCATGAATGCAGAGATGTGCCTAAGTTAAACCTCTAAACCCTAAACCCTCACAAGGGGAAAGGGAGTTGGGAAGGTTGCAGGCTTAGACTTTAGCCCTGATCCTTTCAGGTCTTCGGGTTAGTGGGATTGAAAGTTTTGGGCGACAGGGACCAGGGCCTCAGGGCTTTCGAAGCCTGAGCCCTAAACCCTAAACCCTAAACCGCAAACCCTAAACTCTAAACCCTAAACCGGGGGTTCAGGTTTGGGGTCTACGGGGGTTGGGGAACTTCGCTTCCCAGCTGCTGTGGCTTGAGGTGCCACCCCCTCCGCCACCATCTTCGTGTAGGTAGCGGCATCGGTCGCCATACCTCAGCGCGACATAAGTTAGGGTTTAGGGCTTAGGGCTTAGGGGTTTAGGGGTTTTAGGGGTTTTAGGGGTTTAGGGGTTTAGGGGTTTTAGGGGATTAGGGGATTAGGGGTTTAGGGGTTTAGGGGTTTAGGGGTTTAGGGGTTTAGGGGTTTAGGGGTTTAGGGGTTTAGGGGTTTAGGGGTTTAGGGGTTCAGGGGTTTAGGGTTCGTTCACACATGATACACGTTTGGCTCAGCTCTTCGTGATTCTTGTTTGCCGGGTTCTTGAACCGACTCAGCTGGATCAATATGCTTCATGGGTTCCCCTACTACCCCCCCTCTATACTACCCCCCCCCCCCCCGCAAAATCGAGGCTATTTAGGGATATTCAAGCCTACTTAAGGTTATTGAAGGGGGAGCCCTGCTCTTGGGGTTATGGGTTATGGCGTGGGCGTTTACAGGGTTAAGCTTTCAACCCTCAACCCCGACCCTAGGCCTTTAGCTTGCGCCCATCTACTTTAACAACCGTCGATCGGAGCTTATGTGAGAAGTTGATCCCTTTTTGACACCCTCAACCAAAGGGAAGCTTCGGAACCTTTCTGCCTGCTACCGGCCAGGCTGCTTGCAGTGGCCTTTGGCGAAATCCTCGGCTTGATGAAGCGGGTGGCAAATGGGTTTAGGGTTTAGGGTTTAGGGTTTAGAGTTTAGAGTTTAGGGTTTAGGGCCTAAACCCGAAGCCAGGATGGCCCTCAAACCCCTCTGATAAATATTCCTAGATAGGGTCCTCTTAAACCCAAAAAGGGAAGATATAAAAATGCCCCAAGCGCCTACCTAGGAAGCTCTAAACTGACTGAGCTTTCCAGAGCCCACCTTTGCTTTTGGTAGGCTCCTTGCAAATTCGTGCCTTCCGAAATTAGGTTCCTACTATTTGGGGTTTATCTTAGGGTCCCCAATTTTCGTAAACCCCCATTTCGATACTGGCTTTTACATAACAACCTCTGACAGTGTAGGTTCCGGAAGAGAACGGTTTACGTGGCGATTCATGAAGCTCACAGTTGATGAGTGAGGTTCCAGCGCTACTGGTCTTGTTGAGGATTAAACATATTTTCCTAGGGCTAAGGTTGAGGTGTTCCTAGAACCAGGAGTAACCTAGGAATCATTTTGGGTTTAAGGGGATTATAAGGGAACCGCAACCCTAAAAATAAGGGAATAAGGGCCTACTCCAGGTGCTGGGTTCTGGGTTTGAGGGCTATTTTGAGGGTTTTAGAGTACACTAGGCTTGAGGTCCAGGATAGGGCTTTCGGGGTCTATCCTAAACCCTAAACGCTAAAATTTGGGGCTGGGCACCCTAAACCCGAAACCCGAAACCCTAAGCCCTAAACCTGCCATACTTTCTTTTCGACTAGGAGCCTCAAACTTTTCGAGCCAAGACACTGCACTCATGGCCCCCAAATTGCCCTAAACGCTGACTCCTGCAACCCTTTCAACTTCTCAGGGTTTAGGGTTTTGGGTTTAGGGCTAAACCCTAAATCCCGAGAACCGCAGAGCCCTAAACCCTTTGAACCACACAAACCCCTTGACCTTGGGGCTTTTTGAGGGTTGGGGGTACTTAAGGTTTCGGGACTCGTCTTTCGGCTTTGCAGGTTTCGAATTTCTCTTGTGGGCCCCTCCCAAGCCTGGCAGAAATTCACCTCGGAAACAACCCAGAAACCCTAAGCCCTAATCCCTTCGGGCTTAGAGTTTAGGGCTCTGGGTCCGTAAACCGTAAGTCCTAAAAACTTAAACCCTAAACCCCTAAACCCTAAACCCCTGAACCGTTAACTCCACTTAGCACAAGCCAAGAATCCCTGCAAACCGTCCGCTGCCCATGCGACGGGTTCCCATCAGAAGGAGGTGAAGGTGCCTGGAGCATAGGGATTGGGGTTTTAGGATTTTAGGGTTTAGGGGTTAGGGTGGGTTTTGGGATCATTACAGGGTTTGGAGTTTAGGGCTTGGGGCGTAGGGTTGGGGGGGGTTTGGGACTGTACCAGAAGTGGAAGGACTACAACAGGGGAATATGGAACAACAACGCTCCCCTCAACAAAGCTGAAGACCCTAACTCTTGCTTTGTAAAAGATGAAGAGGGTTCTGATGGGAGGGGGGGTTCTTCTTCTTTTCCTTCTTCTTCTTCTTCTTCTTCTCATTCCGGTTCCGCGTATGGATCCAGTGAGGTCCGAGAAGCATCAGACGTTTCCCGATCCTGCTCTCCGCAGCGGTACAGGCCCCAGAGTGGCGCACCTCCTTCGCGCCCAGCACGAGCAGAGGCTACCACCCCGAGCACTGGGAGTTTCGTCTCCAGTGGCAACACACATCAGCACTTGTTTAGGGTTTAGGGTTTAGGGTTTAGGGCTTCCCTCTTGAGCTGCAAGATGCCAAAAAGCAAAAAGCAAACACACCTAGCTCAGTCTCAGCTCTCATTGGCCAGCAAATGCCTCACACCCATTGCCTTCCAAGAGATCCATCACTTTGCGCAAATTTTGGGGCCGCGAGGAGCGATCCCATGTTTCTGCTCCCTTAAGGGCCTTCAGGAAGGCATGCTCAATGATGGGCGGCTCTGCCTCCTGCCTTCGGATGCACCTTGAGCTGCACACGCACGTACTCCTTTGTTGTAGGCAGTCTTCATGTGGCAGACTGTCACCAACGTCTCGATCTCCTTCGGGTCCGTGACTGAGTCCGCGTGCTCTGAAATCTGCGCTCACTGCGCATCCGTGAGAGCCTTGTCGGTCTCGGCCGTCGCAACCAAACTGGCCCATGAATGCAAAGTGAGGACTCCCAAGACCGTCAGAGCGTCCCAATGTATTCACTAGCTGAGGATCGTCTTTCCCTGCACTGATGCCCGTCATGGCTTACATACTGGCAGCAGGAACCATCCAAGTGCGCAAGACTTAGGGTTTAGGGTTTAGGGTTTAGGGTTTAGGGTTTAGGGTTTAGGGTTTAGGGTTTAGGGTTTAGGGGTTCAAGGGATGTATGTAACCCAAGGTTCCCACATACTCCCCGCAGTCCCCAAGGCTCCCTGAGCTTCCCCAAGGTTCCCCAGGTACCTACCCCCCCCCCCCCCATGAACCAACCCTAAACTGGCGAGGGCGCCGCTGACCATATGCATGGGCGCCCGAGCCTTCCGGGCAGGGCTAAGCCCTGAACCGAGGACGAATCTGCGGGCCAGGGAGGGTAAAGCCTCCCTGGCATGCCCTTGCGGCCTGGACTTAACTGCGTCATACACGACAACAGCGAAGCTATATAGTATCACCCCAAAGCGACGACCATTGGCTACGGAGGTGGTCAAATCGCTCACCATCGGCTACGGGGGTGGTCTTTTGGATGCCCCTCGGGAGGCTTCTCAAAATTGCTGCATCCCACGTCTTTTTTATCGATGAACTGGCGAGGGCGCCGCTGACCATATGCATGGGCGCCCGAGCCTTCCGGGCAGGGCTAAGCCCTGAACCGAGGACGAATCTGCGGGCCAGGGAGGGTAAAGCCTCCCTGGCACACCCTTGCGGCCTGGACTTAACTGCGTCAGACACGACCATAGCGTAGCTATATAGTATTACCCCAAATCGCTCACCATCGGCTACAGAGGTGGCCTCTTGGAGACCCTCCCGGCAGGCCACAAAAGCAGGGGCCGGTCGAGGCCTCTGCTACCCCCTACGTTTTTGCTGCCCAGTGCGGGTCAACACCTCCAGGCACCGACTGCGCGCGTCGAAATCCACGACGGTGGCCGCCATGCCATTCACGAAGTCGTCCTCCTTGGACATATTCTTCGTAAGAAATACGCGCATGCCCGCGTAGATGACGGTGTCAGCAGGCGACAGCGGCCCTTTCTTCAACGACCCCTTGGCGGTGTAGTTGTCCTGATTTGCCTCGAAGTCCAGAGGCAACCTGCCCAGCGGGAAGCACACGGCCCTACTGCCCTCCTGCGTGCTCCCTCACTTAAGGGCGAACATAAGGGACTTGGGTTGCTTAGCGCGGGTCTAGAATCACAAGTGGCCCCCCTTGCTAGGGGGGTTGGGGGGTAGAACCCTAAACCCTAAATGAGAATCAGCAGGGTGGCAGGGGTGGGGCATCGTAGCGGCGCAAGGCGAGCGGCCCGGGTGCTTTTAGCACCAGCGAGCCACTCTTCTTACACACCCTAAACCCTAAACCCTAAACCCTAAACCCTAAACCCTAAACCCTAAACCCTAAACCCTAAACCCTAAACCCCAAGACCCATGATCCCCCTCCCTTAAGAACCCTATCAAGATACCCTACAGCCAAGTCCCTTGTGCTGCGAATTGCCTTGAAACCCTAAACCCTAACCCCAAACCTCAAACCCTAAACCCTAAATCCCTCACCCCTAAATCCTAAAGCCCTAAAGCCCTGAACCCCTAAACCCCAAAACCCTTGGGTTGCGGGTCGCTTCTGACCTGGATCCCACAGTGCCACAAACTTTTTTTTTTTTTTTTTGGGGGGGGGGGGGGGTGTCTGGGTCGTACACTCTGAGGGAAAAGAAAGCAGCCATGGGTTTGGGGTTTAGGGTTGAGGGTAGTTTAGGGTTTAGGGTTAGGGTTCAGGGTTTAGGGTTTAGGATTGAGGGTTTAGGGTACTCATCATGAGGGATCAGGGCTCAACAAAAACCATGATAAAAACAAAAAGGTCCTGTAGGGGAACTTGCAAATGGTCTCCCAAACTGGCCTCGTGTCTTTGGTTCGTCGAGTCCTCCCAATCCTCGCGATCCGGCAGAAGCTTCGTGGCTGTGAAATGCAGGAAGAAGCAGGCTAGAGACCGAAGACCCTAAACCCTACTAAACCCTAAACCCTAAACCCTTGAAATTCTTTCTTAGGGCAGGTACATGGTTCCTTAGTACAAGCCCTCAAAGGGGGACCGTACTTCAGAACCCTTTAACGAAGGTGAGGGACCGTACTAAGGGGCCATACTCGGAGATCCAAAACCCTAGGGTTAGGGTTTAGGGCCCTAGTATGGTTATAAGCACAGTTAGAAGTACAGTTCTAATTGGTTAATATCCCTAAACCCTAAACCCTAAACCCTAAACCCTAAACCCTAATATGGATAAAAGTACCATGAACCTCCAAGTAGAACTACCCTCAGACTCTTGACCCAGACTCGAAACCCGGCTCAGGGCTCTCGAGGATCCATGGCTTTAGCATGTTAATCTAGGACAGCTCAGGTAGGGTTTAGGGTTTAGGGTTTAGGGTTTAGGGTTTAGGGTTTAGGGTTTAGGGTTTAGGGTTTAGGGTTTAGGGTTTAGGGTTTAGGGTTTAGGGTTTAGGGTTTAGGGTTGAGCATCTTCAGGTTCTGGCGCTCAAGGAGATGCCCCAAACCCTCCCCTCCCCCGGAAGCACCCTAAGCAGCCCTAAGCCCAAAGCCCGATAAACCCTGATCAGTCCTAAACCCTAACCCTAAACCCTAAACCCTAAACCCTAAACCCTAAACCCTAAACCCGGAGCGCTCCGGATTCTGACCCTCCGGATGCACGGACCCGGCTGCCCCCATGGCTTCGGAGGCGTGGGAATTACTTGGACCCAACGGTGTCTGTGCTGAAAAACACTGGGTTTCAGGGTTTAGGGTTTAGGGTTTGTAGGGCTTAGAAGGTTTACCAAGAGTTTCAATATCTTTCTTGTACGGGTTTGCTTAGGGACAGGATATGGGGTCCTCAATACCCCGATAGGCTGGCCCCTCGGCCGATTGGAGAAGGTAGGGGTGTGGGTTTCAGGCCAGGGGGTGTGGTCAGCGATGTTGCACTACCAGCACGACTCTTCTTGCTGCTAGAATATCTTTGTCTATGATGTGTGCGTCTTTGCGAAACAGCAAGACTCTGCTTCATGTAGGACAAGAACCCTAAACCCTAAACCCTAAACCCTAAACCCTAAACCCTAAACCCTAGGGTTTAGGGGGCATACTGCTTGCTCCGTGCTTCTGTCGGGCCAGGAACGCAGTCCGTGGCGACGCGGCGACACTCTCTGGGTAGTTACGACATGGTCCCTTATAGTTTAGGGTTTAGGGTTTAGGGTTTAGGGTTAGGGTTTAGGGTTTAGGGTTTAGGGCCTTGCTATAAGAGGGTTCCGAAGTTCGTGGGGTTTACAATTTGACTAGGGTTCAAGGTTTGTTCCGAAGTGTCCGTCCCTGGGTAGGCCAAGTCAGGGTAGATGAAAGTCCCTACTACGGGCCCTTGTAGCTACGTACCCTAAATCTGGCTGCTGTTTGTAGCCTAAGAATCCTATGAAGGGTTGGTGTATAACAACGGCCTGAGCACAAGGTTCTCTAAGCCCTAAACCCTAAACCCTAAACCCTAAACCCTAAACCCTAAACCCTTTGTGGCTTAACTTTGGGCTCGGGGTTGCGAACAAAACATCACTTCTTGGACAGCCAAGCTTGCAAGCTCAGGGCTCGGAGGGGCCGTTCATTACAGGGTTCTTAAGGGAGGGTTTAGGGTTTAGGGTTTAGGTTTAGGGTTTAGGGTTTAGGGTTTAGGGTTTAGGGTTTAGGGTTTAGGGTTTAGGGTTTAGGGTTTAGGGTTTAGGGTTTAGGGTTTAGGGCTCTTGAGGGAGGGGGGTTCAAGACGGCTACGCAACAAGGTTCCCGAATACTCCCCAAGTTCAAGTGTGCAGCATTCAGGGAGGTTTTGAGGATGTGTGGGGGAGGGGGTTTCTCAGGTTTAGGGCTTGGGGCTTAGAGGGCCTGTACCGTAATTTGTAAACCCTTTCAACCCTATCAACCCTATAAACCCTACAAGCCCTAAAAACCCTGTACCCCCTGCAAACCCTCAGAAACCCTCCGACAACCCTAAGTGCCCAAAACGCCCTCAACCCGGAGCCGAGCCATTCAGAGACATCAACCTTAAACCCCACAGCCCTAAACCCTGTGTGTACAAACATCTAATATAAAATGTGCGATGTAAAATTTCAATGGATATCTATACATATATATATATATATGTATATAACACTGAGCCCGAAACCGTAGAGCCTAAACCGCAACGCATATCAGGTGAGGCTTATATTTTTGTTACTGGCGAGTGCATACAAGGCTCCTTCTAAGCATTGGTGAGTGTATGCATCCCCGAAAACCTAGATCCTAAACATCCTACTTCATATGGTCAGTTCTCTACATTATAATCCCTTGGTTGGGAACCCTGAATAAGAAGGACCACCTCAGAATAAGGACCCTAAACCCTAAACCCTAAACCCTAAAGTTTGGCCCTAAACCCTAAAGGCACCCTGAATAAGAAGGACCACCTCAGAATAAGGACCCTAAACCCTAAACCCTAAAGTTTGGCCCTAAACCCTAAACCCTACACCCTACACCCTACACCCTAAACCCTAAACCCTAAACCCTAAACCCTAAACCGCAGGCCCCTCCAGGAGCCACACATTGGCTGTCCAGCAGGCACGTTCCTCAGCGGCCGGGGATTAGTTCAGCTAAGGGTAGATGCCTTAGGGACCAGTATATGTTTAGGGTTTAGGGTTTAGGGTTTAGGGTTTAGGGTTTAGGGTTTAGGGTTTAGGGTTTAGGGTTTAGGGGTTTATGGTTCATAGACGCCAACAGGGATTATAGTAGTATAGGGTATATGACCCCAATTTTAGGGTTCATTTGCTCCCCAAGGCTGAGGGAAATGGGGGTTTCAGGGATTGTGGGGTTTCAGGGTTCCGGGAGGGGTTGAGGGTTTAGCGGGGTTTGGAGTTGACGAGGGGTAGGGGTTGCTGGATATAGGGCTTTGCGGGGGGGGGTGGGGGCGGGGGGGGATGGGGAGATTTAGGTGTCCAGGGGCTTGAGGGTTTGGGGTTAGTGGGGGACTGAGGGTGTTTGGGGCTTCGAGCATCATAGACGGTGAGGCCGCGCAACTTCAAGGCTACTCCTCGAGGTCTTCGGCTGTGGGTCTAAGAGTGCAAAGCTGCGACGTTGCAAGATTTCACGCGCTGCACCGAAGTCTGTTACCAGCGGCTGCGCAGGAAGCAGAATGCAGACTTCGCTGCCGAGCGAGAGGTGATCTTCGTGTCACCTGTGCGAGAGGACGGTAAGCAGACTGCAGACCGTCCTGGCGCGCAGGTTGTATGCATGGTCTTCTTTAGCATCCTAGCCAGCTCACACACAAGAGCATCAGCTCACACAAGTGTAACTGGACATGCATGGTCTAACCCCACATCAAAGACCATTGATTCTGACCAACCTTCATTTACGAATCGCGGGAATACAGGGGGCTAATAAATTAGAACAGGGTTTTTGGGGGAGTTATTATAGTACAATTATGTAGGGGCCATCAGGGGATATTATTAGCAATTATTCCGTGTAGGTATGAAGGGACCAGTGTGACACACAATCTTGTGGCAAGAGGCCATGTCTTCCAAGAGGTGTCAGCAATTTCAGCGTGGAGACTTTATGCCCTAAACCCTAAACCCTAAACCCTAAACCCTAAACCCTAAACCCTGAACTCTAAACATGCGACCATGTCTGGCACAATCTCAGGGACCGCAGAATGCGATGCGACTCCCCCTGGGGACCAAATGAACCCAAAAATTGGGGCCATATACACTGTACTACTCTGATCCCTATTAAGGTATATGAGCCGTAAACCCTAAACCCTAAACCCTGAACCCTAAACCCTAAACCCTAAACCCTTTTAAGGTTCATTTGGTCCTTGAAGCCTACCTCCTCGCGTGCTTCGCATACAGCTGAGGGATGGATGAGCCTTTCTCGGCTCTGCTCACTCTCTTTGCAAGTCCAGGACTTAGGGTTTAGGGTTTAGGGTTTAGGGTTTAGGGTTTAGGGTTTAGGGTTTAGGGTTTAGGGTTTAGGGTTCAAGGTTAAGGGCTTAGGGTTGATGTAAGAGCCCATGGTAGTAGACCCGGATGACCAAAGGCTCCACTTGCAGTAGTATTGTGCAACATTTGGTGCCTCCAAAACAACCTATGTCAGGTTTAGGGTTTAGGGTTACGGCAGCCCCAGGTTTGGGGTTTCGGGCGCCTAAACCCTAAACCCTAAACCCTGAACCCTAAACCCTAAACCCTAAACCCTAAACCCTAAACCCTACACCCTAAATCCTAAACCCTAAACCCTAAACCCTAAACCCTAAACCCTAAACCCTAAACCCTAAACCCTTGACAAGTCCCGAACCTTACTAGAGGTAAACCCCTTCGGACAGACGCCTTCGAGAGCCGAAGATCCCTCGGGTCATTTACCTTAAAGGACCAAATGAACCTCAGAAAGGGCTCATGGTTCACATACCTGATTTCATAGGGATTGAGTATCGCAGTTTGGGGTTTAGGGTTTAGGGTTTAGGGTATATGGCCCCAATGTTAGGGTTCATTTGGTCCCCCAGGTAGTCGCGACTTGAGACGACTCTCCGCGGATTCGCCGTGGTTGCGGTGGGCCTGCGCAGCATGAGAAGGATGCGGGAGAAGCCCCATGCGACGGGGAAAGCATTAATTACTTGGTTTAGGGTTTAGGGTTTAGGGTTTAGGGTTTAGGGTTTAGGGTTTAGGGTTTAGGGTTTAGGGTTTAGGGTATAGCTCACGGCCGAAGGCCAACACAATGTGGGGTCCCTTTCTGGCTACCTAGTACAATACGGGGAGCCCTTGTATGTATGGTACCCTTTACAGGAAGCATCGCTTCAACAACAAAAACTGCTGGTTCTTAACCCTAAACCCTAAACCCTAAACTCGGGGTTTTAATTTTCGAGCCCGGGGTGTAGAGTCGTTAGGGTTGCGCATTTAGGGTGGGTGCATGGATCCTCAGGGTGTGGGCTGCAAGGAATAGAGGCATGTAGGGTTTAGGGTTTGGGGTTTGGGGTTTAGGGTTTAAGGTTTAGGGTTTAGGGTTCGAGGCATATACAGGGCTTAGGGTTTAGATTGGGTCTTGAGAGTGTATGGGGTCTACATCATTATGAAAGGGTTTGAGGCTCCTTGCAGGAATCTATGGACTGCTGCCTGCTGCTGCCGCAGGACACTTTGGCTCGGGGATTCACAGGCGTTCGAAGTCATAGCATGTATAATCCAGGGCATCTGGGTCTTTCCTAAGGAGTGATGACTCTGCATTCAGGTGTGTTCCGTGACCCTAAACCCTGAACCCTGAACCCGAAACCCTAAACCCTAAACCCTGAACCCTAAACCCTAAACCCTAACTTCAGGGTCGTTGGGCTATTCTGGGATGCTTCAAGCCCTAGGCGGCCGACTTAACTCTTACAAAAAATTGGTATAGGTACCGACCCGCCGGACTCTTCTGGCCTCAGTTTACCTAAGTAGCAACCCAAAAGCCTCACACCTCCCAAAACCATAAACCTCTTAACCTAAAACCCTTTCATAACTTGTTATAGCCCTGTCAACCCCAAGGCCTCAAACCTTAAACCAAAAGACCCAAACCAAAAGGCGTCGGGCAATGCCAGGGCCTACTACTTGTCTCAAGAGAGACATAGACCTGTGACGCCCAAACCCTACCAAATAGTAGGTGATAGCATGTTATAACCCTCGGGACATCGGGCATAAACCCCCCTAACATGGTAGGTGATCCCTAAACCCTAAGCCCTCAAAAAAACCCGCCCAGCCTCTGTTACCAAGACTTGGTCCGTGGCTTCAGTTGTGGACCTGTGCGGTAGCTGCGGAATAGTTGTAGGAGTGCTGGGTCCACGAAAACCTGGTAGGGGCTGAGCTTTGGATCCCCAAACCTACTTCTTCGTAGGCTATGAATATGAAACCCTGCTTAAACGAATGCTTCGCAAACCATACACATATATATATATATACACATATACATATGCATATATACATATATATATATATACAAATACATACATCTATACATATACATATTGTTTTTATGTATTTATTTGTTTAATTATTTACTTGCTTATATATTTATCTATTTATTTAGTGTATACATACATACATACATACATACATACATACATACATACATACATACATACATACATACATACATACATACATATATGTATATATATATATATATATATATATATGGCTGTGGCTCTAAATAGGGGTATGCCGCGGAGGTTTGTCGCGGACTGCTTGTCGCAAGCAGAACGGCTTTGTTACAAACCCTATGTCGCGGAAAGGCGCCCGGGGGCCAGTTACATACCTAGACTTTTGAGCCGCGCCCATATCCACAAAAAGTATATAAATTGTTTATATATATATATATATAAGGTGGCAAACTATGGCTCACAAGCAGGAGGAATACACACCGCTGCCAACCAAGGACGTTCTATCAGAATGCAGGTACTCACGATTAATCAAATCTTGTAAATTGTACGTAGCACAAATTTGCAGTGGTGCTGCTTCAGGCCTCGGCCCCGTTGGGCAGGCGCCAGTGGAAGCCGCTCTCACGGACGAGCGCCTCCCGCATTGGCAGCAGTGCGGCCGACTGCTCCAAGACCTCTTTCTCGGGTAGGCAGCGCTCCAGCAGAACCAAACTCCGAAAGAAGTGGACGTCGAGCTCTGCACCTTCTGTTCACCCAGCCGGCCGACTCGATGTTGTGCTCGATGAAAGCACGACGCGAGTGTCCGCGGGCCTTGCGTGGCCATCGTCCCGTGCACCGCCAGCAAGCAAGGGCCCCAAGTCTGCCGGCACGTCACACTGGCCGTACTCGTTGGCTCCAAAGCACACCAGGTACCCGCTCGCCTTCACGGCGCAGGTGTGAACTCTTCCTGCAGCAACGGCCACCACAGGGCCCAGGTCTGCCGGCACGTCGCACTGATCAAACCCGTTCCACCCAAAGCACACCAGCTCCCCGCTCGCCTTCACAGCGCAGGTGTGATAGGCTCCTGCTACAACGGCCACCACGCGCCCCAGGTCTGGCGCGTCACACTGGCCATGGTTGTTCTCCCCAAAGCACAGCAGCTCCCCGCTCGCCTTTACGGCGCAAGTGTGGCTCTCTCCTGCAGCAACGGCAACCACGGGCCCCAGATCTGCCGGCACATCGCACTGGCCGTGAAGGTTCCACCCAAAGCACACCAGCTCCCCGCTCGCCTTCACGGCGCAGGTGTGAGCAAATCCTGCAGCAACGGCCACCACGGGCCCCAGGTCTGCCGGCACGTCGCACTGGCCTTCGTCGTTCAGCCCAAAGCACAGCAGCTCTCCGTTCGCCTTTACGGCGCAGTTGTGACCATGTCCTCCAGCAACGGCCACCACGGGTCCCAGGTCTGCAGGAACGTCGCACTCGCCGTACTCGCTCCAGCCACAGCACACCAGCTCCCCGCTCGCCTTCACGGCGCAAGTGCGACAGTCTCCTGCAGCAACGGCCACCACGGACCCCTGCAGGTCTGCCGGCACGTCGCACTGGTCTTCGTCGTTCAGCCCAAAGCACACAAGCTCACCGCCCGCCTTCACAACACAAGTGTGAGCGTTTCCTGCAGCGACAGCAGAGCAGGACAGGTAAGCAGGCACAGGTGCGGCCAGGAAAAGCAGCACGACCTCCCCGAGCGTTTGCGATAACTTGTCGATCTCGGTGCTGGCCGTCCTGCGCAGATCCGCGATGATCCAGCACATGTGATGCAGACCCACAAGTTCCTCGCCGGCAGGTATGCACGGGATGCGCTCATGAGCACGCAGGGTCGATGTTGGATGCTCAGCTGCAAGATCCAAAATGGGCTCCGGCCTTCCTCCTGTTCAACCTGCGGCTATCTCCCAAGGAATCTCAAGTTCCAGGGAGGGTGGAGTCAGCTCCGAACCCGGACCCTCAAGACCCGAAGGTTCCTAAACTGATTTCTTAAATCTGAAGTTCTACCCACAGCCATTGTGGCGACATACGCAGCCAGCTTGCACTGTGCTGGCAAAGCCCGAAACTAAACGTTCGAAGCAGCCCTGATGTAGAAGGAGAAGAAGAATGTCATAGGCTCGCAACAGATCACGACCCAATTCAGAACAGAGCTTAGGGCGCAGCTTTTTTTTGCCTGCTTGCTTTTCTGGAGCTGGGGCACAATGTATCTGGAAACCCTAAACCCTAAACCCTAAACACTAAACCCTAAACCCTAAACCCTCATCCCTAAACATCAAACAAGGTGAAACTTGGCGTCCCATTGATGCTGTAGAGGGTGCAATGATCAGAGTGCAAGCTCCCCGCAGGTACTTCTCAAACCCGCAGGCATTTTTCAAAACAGTTTTGGAAACCTATATACCCTACATTCCTAAAACATGCAATAAAAGCTTCCTAAAACCCAAAGCCCCCACACCCCGAACTGGCTATCGTTTCTCTGGCCGGCTATGGATCTATAAAGTGTTGAACGTTCTCTTCCTTTCGGGAATTTGGCAACCTTCCTGCATAGAGGGTATACTTATAGGGGCTGAATACCCTAACCCCAAAAAGGGTAACCTTTTATATGTAGTAGGTTTCTATATAGCCGAGAAATAGGTTAAACAATTGGCTAAGGTCTCGATGAAGGAGGCGTCCTACTCCGCGACGATGGCGGCCGCCTGGGGAGGGACTTGCACAGCCAGCAAGCAAGGGTCCCAGGTCTGCCGGCACGTCACACTGGCCGTGCCAGTTCTTCCCCAAGCACACCATCTCCCCGCTCGCCTTCACGGCACAGGTGTGATACCATCCGGCAGCAAAGGCCACCACGGGACCCAGGTCTGCCGGCACATCGCACTGGCCGTACTGGTTGTTTCCAAAGCACACCAGCTTCCCGCTCGCCTTCACAGCGCACGTGTGATATGTTCCTGCAGCAACGGCCACCACGGGCCCCAGGTCTGCCGGCACGTCGCACTGGCCAGACTGGTTCCTCCCAAAGCACACCAGCTCCCCGCTCGCCTTTACGGCGCTGGTGTGATTCCGTCCTGCAGCAACAGCCACCACGGGCCCCAGGTCTGCCGGCACGTCGCACTGGCCGTACTCGTTGCCTCCAAAGCACACCAGCTCCCCGCTCGCCTTCACGGCGCAGGTGTGACCATATCCTCCAGCAACGGCCACCACGGGCCCCAGGTCTGTTGGCACGTCGCACTCACCGTACCTGTTGCCCCCAAAGCACACCAGCTCCCCGCTCGTTTTCACGGCGCAGGTGTGACCAAAGCGACAATGGCCTGCAGCCACGGCTAGCACGGGCCCCAGGTCTGCCGGCACGTCGCAAAGGCCGTACTCGTCGTCCCCAAAGCACACCAGCTCCCCACTACCCTTCACGGCGCAGGTGTGACCAAATCCTGCAGCAACGGCCACCACGGGCCCCAGGCTTGCTGGGACGTCGCGCTCGCCGTACACGTTGTCTCCAAAGCACACCAGCTCCCCGCTCGCCTTTATCGTGCAGGTGTAGTCACATCCTGCAGCGACAACAGAGCGGGACGTGAAAGCCGGCACAGGTGCGGCCAGGAAAAGTAGCACGACCTCCCCGAGCGTTTGCGATAACTTGTCGATCTCGGTGCTGGCCGTCCTGCGCAGATCCGCGATGATCCAGCACATGTGATGCAACTCCCGGGGTGGGACCCACAAGTTCCTCGCCGGCAGGTATGCACGGGATGCGCTCATGAGCACGCAGGCTCGATGTTGGGGGGCTCTACGGATGCGCAGCAGCAAGATTTAAAATGGGCTCCGGCCTGCCTCCTCTTCAACCTGCGGCTGCCAAATACAAACAGATCTCCCAAGGAATCACAAGTTCCAGGGAGGGTGAGTCAGCTCCGAACCCGGACCCTCAGGACCCGAAGCCCCCTAAACTTATTACTTAAACCTGCAGTTCTACCCACAGCCCTTGTCGCGACATACGCAGCCAGCTGGACTCTGTGCTGGCAGAGCCCGAAACGAGACGTTAGAAACACTAACCTCATGATGAAGAAGAAGAAGGAAGAAGAAGGAAGAAGAAGGAAGAAGAAGAAGAATGTCACATGCTCTCAACAGATCACGACTCAATTAAGTACAGAGCTTAGGGGTTCAGCTTTTTTTGCCCGTGTGACGCAGCGGCCGGACGTGCAGTAAGCAGAGTGCAGACTGCACAAGCCCAGGGCCCAAGGGTGTCACTGTGCGGATTCCGGCAGTTGCCGTATAAGGGGGCAGTAAGCAGAATGCAAACTGCCCGGGCAACGAATTCCGTGCATCGGCTGCTGTAGCCAGCCTTGCAATTGTGGAGCTGGGGTCTACAATATATATATATATATATATATGTATATGTATATATGTATATATAGATATGTCTATATGTATCTACTATGTATATATGTATATAGACATACAAAATGGAAAGAGCAACACCCAAACGGTGACGCTTGGCGTCCCATTGATGCTGCAGCGGGCGCAGTAAGCAGAGTGCAAACTGTTCCCAAGCGCAATATCGACACTAAACAAATGAACTTAAACCCTGGCGGGTTCTCATACTTGGCTATTTCCTAACATAGGGGCACCCCTTATACAACCTAATACTATAGTCCTTCTTATGGGAACCCCCAAACTGGGTACCCCCTCAAGCCCCCATTTCTACGCCTAGCTTTCGTACAGAATCCTGCATTTGCCCCCAAGCGCTAGTCGTGGTGGGCGAAGACTCGCCGAGGATTCGCGCCGTGGTTCGGGCGCGCCTCGGGATGTCTTGCAACACTACAAACACGATATATCCGAACAGCACAAGAACAGTTCCTTGCTGGGCACTTATAGGGTTGCATTGGGAGCTCAGGAAGATCCGACTGGAGAAAGCTAAAACCTTGAAGCTTCCTGAGACCCCGAGCACCTGTCTAGGGAACCCAAAGGGCCAGGGAATGTCTTGGGGTTGCTCTTGAACTTGGGGGCTTACAGGACAGACTCCCCTAGAAGGACACCCTTCATCCGACTCCCCTATGTAACCCTTATCTATCGCTTATTTCCCCTTTAGGTTGCCCCGGGAAACGCTGGAAAGCGATGGCGGGTCCCTTGTAAGGGCTCCCTCCTGACAGTTCTCAACGAGATCCTTGTAGGGCCAACTTATGAGCTTTGTAGGTTCAGGGTGTTGTCTTCTTACCGTTTTAACAGACACCCAAGACTTGGAGCCCTGCTGTAAAAAACTCCTCCCAAACCCCTGGAATCCCACCCCTAAACTCCGCCCCCAACAACGACTTGGCACCCAAAACATCTAAACAAAACAACCAAGCCCAGTTTCATAACCGTTACAACAGCCACCATGCCCTCAAACCCCGCATCCCTACTAGTCCCAGCCTCCGTGGTGGACTGCACCACCGAGTTGGGACGCAGGAGCTGCGTCGACGGGAGGTGGAGGAACGTGCGCCGGACCAGCGCGATCTCGTCACCGTCCTGGGAAGGCCAACCGGAGCCGTCCGAAGAGAGAGAGGAATAGAGAGAGAGAGAGAGTGGCCAACATGTACTAGTATGATATTTGGGCATTAAATAAACAGTCAGTCGCTCAGGCAAACAGTCAGTCTGTACGCGTGATTCGGGGCGGTGGCGAGAAGAACAAAACCGCGTCGGGCTTTAAGCCGCCAGCACCCATGCAAACACTTCTGATAACCATCTATAGGCCATAGCCCCCCTAGAATCCCTCGAAGCCTTCCGATAGAACTCCGTATATGAACCACTTTTAGGAGCGAAAAAGCCTACACAGCGCGACGCCCCCGCACAGCTGCAGACCAGTTCCCGGTGCAGCCCAGGAATCAATGAGATGCAGGGTTTAGGGTTTAGGGTTTTTACCTAGAAGCTCTTGCTAAGCCAAAAGGGCTTCCAAGTAATGCTTCTTATTACTCACCAGGCAAAGGGGAATAGAGTACCTGCTTGGGACTCTAACGACTCCGGCAGCCTGAACACCCGTATGTTTGAACCCCATTAAACAAGTACTAAAGGAACCTAATAGGGTTTAGGGTTTAGGTTTTAGGGTTTAGGGTTCCTTTGGCAAAGGAACCTACATGCCGCCAATGCCCAAACCCTGAAACCGAACAAAACTACCCTGAAGCACTATAACCCTATAAACCCTGAAGCCCTGAAGCCTAAACCCTGAAACCCCATAAATCCTGAAACCCTATAAAGCCTGAAATGCCCTAAGCCTAAACCATAAACCCTAAACCCTAAACCCTGACAACCTGCATTTTTAAGCCCGGCATCTGCCAGGGCCACGGTGGTCGAAGAGCGGAGGCGCACGCGCAGCCTCTGCAGGGAAACAGGGCTTCGGGGATTCAGAGGGTCTGGGTTTGTATAGGGCTTTTAGGGGTTCAGCGGTTTTTGGGGTTTAGGGCATTTAGGGGTTGGGCTTATATGGGGTTGAGCGATTAGGCACTTAAGCCTCTGGCCTTTATATTGCTTGAGGGTTTAGGGAGTTTAGGGGTTTAGGGGTTTAGGGGCTTAGGGGCTTAGAGGTTTGGGGGTTTGGGGTTCAGGGTTTGACAAGTTTGAGGCTTGCTGCCGATGAGAGGAGGAGGCGTCATTGAAATTCAAACCCCTAAAATCCCTAAACCGTAAACCCTAAACGCCCCTGAGCCCTAGATGACCCTAGTCCCAAAGCCCTGTCAGAGTGAGTATACACGTCCTGCTGTCGGCACAAACCCTAAACCCTACAAGCCCCAAAACAAGATGTACACCCTCTGAACCATAGAAGCCCTGCCAAGGCTTGATACCTCTAACCCTAACGACCCTAAACACCCTATAAACCCTCTAAACCCTAAACCCTAAACCCTAAACCCTAAACCCTAAACCCTAAACCCTGAACCATGAACCCTAAACGAAAACCCGGCAAGCCCCAAACTCCCAGAGGGGGACCCAGGCCTTTCGGTGATTTTGAGCTGAGGGGGTTTAGGGTTTGCAGGCATTGGTGGTTAATAAGTGTATATATAGAAGGTTTTGGGCAGGCTGTTCAGGGTTCATCATCTTAGGGTGGTTTAGGGCTTATAGGGTTTAGAGTTTTAGAGGCTTAAAAAGTTCGGACGGCTTGGCGCTTTGAAGATCGGGCGGCTGCATGCCAAGCAAGCCCTTCTGTTTTTGGAACACGCCAACTTGCAGAAACCACCGTTTAGGGCTCACGGTACACATGCGGGGTGCTCTGCTTATCATGCATCTCTTAAAGCGCTGGTCCAAACCCTAAACCCTAAAGCCGCAAAGCCCTCGGCCTCGACCGAAGCTGCTGCACGGCATCCAGCACAAATCCTTCCAAGTCCTGCGCAGAGAGGGGGCCAACAATTCTTGGGCAAACTAAGATTAAGGTTGAAGGTGGGGAGTTTGTATGAATCCTGGCCAACGATTGGCTTGCGATTGAGGACTGATTGCATTCGGGCTTATGGGGCTGAAGGTGTAGGAACTTGCGATTCATGGGCCCCGGCCGTCGAAAGAGCGAGGTTCGAGCGAAACGGAGTTTTCAAAAGAAGGGCACACCCTAAACTCTAAACCCTGAACCCTACATGTCCTCCGCAGCCAAGACGTGGTGGGCCCGAAGATCCACCATGCGGTAGCTGCGGAGCAGCCGGAAGAGGCGCGGGTCCATGAAGACCTGCGAATTGCTTTCAACTCACAAACGGATGACGTGCGGTCCCAAAGGTCAACTCTACCGACTCGAAGACAGCCCATCCCATTGTTTAGGGTTTAGGGTATAATTGTACCAAAAAATCTGTTACAAAGATAGACTACTCTTGCTACAAAATTTCTGCACAAAGACATTATATATACATATATATATACACACACGCGCACATTTATGTATCTGTATATTTCTGTTGCAAGGAATTCAGCTCCGTGGCTTTTCCCACAGGATGTTTGGGCCGGGGCCCTGACGCTCGCCCATGGTACAGGCTTGTGTTTACGGTGGAGGCAATCGTCTAATATATGGGCCTTAATGATTAGAATAGGGTTTTCTTTTTTTTTTTTGGGGGGGGGGGGGGTTCTTGTAGTGTAATGTTAACGGCACCATATAATAATAAGGGAATACTACAGTATTTTCCGGGAAAGCACTTGTCTTATCTCAGCGGCTTCCCTGACTGAGACTTCTGCCATGTGAATTTGGCAGTTGGGGGGCCTCAGGCACCAGGCTTAAACCGCAAACACAGCAATCAAAAGCTCTAAAGCTTATAAACCCTTTAAACGATGTGTCACCCGGCAGCGTTTGTGAGCTCCCAGCCCCGCAAGCCGTGAATCCCAGGTTACCCGCTGCTCTCCGATTTCCCTTACCCAAACACTCCCATGTACCCAGGTAAAATACTTCTAATAGGGATGGCACTGATAGGGATTCTACTTGCGGACTCGTGACGCGTGCCACGATGCAGGGCTTATAAGGTTTCTGGAACTCCAGCCTTGGCTCCGTTGGGCAGGCGCCAGTGGAAGCCCTCTCGGGCGAGCGCCATTCGGGTCGGCCGCAGCGCGGCCGAGTGCTGCAGCACCTCGTTGAGCTCGGGTGGGCAACGCGTGAACTCCAGCAAAACCAAGCTCCGAAACAGATCGTTGCGGGGGACGTCGGGCTCTGCGGCCTCTGTGTCTGTGTCCACCCAGCGGGCCGACTCGATGTTGTCCACCCAGCCGGCAGACTCGATGTTGTGTTCGATGAAGGAGGCCTGCTGCTCCGCGACGATGGCGGCCGCCTCGTCCGGAGGGATCTCCGCGGCGGCCTCCTCGTGCTGAACATCCTGCACGACCGGAGAGTGCACAAACCTTGCAGGGCCATTGTCGGCATCAGATGGAAAGGTCCTTGCAGAGCCAGCGAGCAAGGGACCCAAGTTTTCCGGCACATCGCACTGGCCATATTTGTTAAGGCCAACGCAAACCAGCTCCCCGTTCTCCTTCACGGCGCAGGTGTGAAATGGTCCTGCAGCAACAGCCACCAGGGGCCCCAGGTCTGCCGGCACGTCACACTGGCCGTACTCGTTCCTCCCAAAGCACACCAGCTCCCCGCTCGCCTTCACAGCGCACGTGTGATATGTTCCTGCAGCAACAGCCACCACAGGCCCCAGGTCTGCCGGCACGTCGCACTGGCCGTACTCGTTCCACCCAAAGCACACCAGCTCCCCGCTCGCCTTCACGGCGCAGGTGTGAGCAACTCCTGCAGCAACGGCCACCACGGGCCCCAGGTCTGCCGGCACGTCGCACTCGCCGTGGTAGTTCCACCCGAAGCACACCAGGTCCCCGCTCGGCTTCACAGCGCAGGTGTGACTCCGTCCTGCAGCAACGGCCACCACGGGCCCCAGGTCTGCCGGCACGTCACACTGGCCGTACTCGTTCCTCCCAAAGCACACCAGCTCCCCGCTCGCCTTCACAGCGCACGTGTGATGACCTCCTCCTGCAGCAACGGCCACCACGGGCCCCAGGTCTGCCGGCACATCACACTGGCCGGACTGGTTCCTCCCAAAGCACACCAGCTCCCCGCTCGCCTTCACAGCGCACGTGTGATATGTTCCTGCAGCAACAGCCACCACGGGCCCCAGGTCTGCTGGGACGTCGCGCTCGCCGTACTCGTTGCCTCCAAAGCACACCAGCTCCCCGCTCGCCTTTACGGCGCAAGTGTGGCTCTCTCCTGCATCGACAGCAGAGCGGGACAGGTAAGCCGGCACAGGCGTGGCCAGGAAAGGCAGCACGACCTCCCCCAGCGTTTGCGTCAGCTTGTCGATCTCGGTGCTGGCCGTCCTGCGCAGATCCGCGATGATCCAGCACATGTGATGCAACTCCCGGGGTGGGACCCACAAGTTCCTCGCCGGCAGGTATGCACGGGACGCGCTCATGAGCAGGAAGGGTCGATGTTGGGGGGGCTCTACAGATGCGCAGAGTTCAACCTGCGGCTGCCAGATGCAAACAGATCTCCCAAGGAATCCCAAGTTCCAGGGAGGGTGGAGTCAGCTCCGAACCCGGACCCTCAGGACCCGAAGCCCCCCCTAAACTTACTTAAACCTGCAGTTCTACCCACAGCCCTTGTCGCGACATACGCAGCCAGCTGGACTCTGTGCTGGCAGAGCCCGAAACGAGACGTTAGAAACACTAACCTCATGATGAAGAAGAAGAAGGAAGAAGAAGAAGGAAGAAGAAGAAGGAAGAAGAAGAAGAATGTCACAGGCTCTCAACAGATCACGACTCAATTAAGTACAGAGCTTAGGGGTTCAGCTTTTTTTTTGCCCGCGTGACGCAGCGGCCGGGTGTGCAGTAAGCAGAGTGCAGACTGCACAAGCCCAGGGCCCAAGGGTGTCACTGCGCGGATTCCGGCACTTGCCGTATAAGGGGGCAGCAAGCAGAATGCAAACTACCCGAACAACGAATTCCGTGCATCGGCTGCTGTAGCCAGCCTTGAAATTGTGGAGCTGGGGTCTACAATATCTATGTATATAGACATACAAAATGGAAAGATCAACATCAATAAGGTGGCGCTTGGCGTCCCATTGATGCTGCCGCCGGCGCAGTAAGCAGACTGCAAACTGCTCCTTCAGGCTTCTCAAACCCTTTTTGAACCCTTTATACCCTAAATCCCGAAACAAAGCCCCAAACCCCGAACTGGCTATCGTTTCTCTGACCAGCTACCTCCGCCCAGAATGGATCTTGCGGCTCTAAAATCTCGTAGGCAACCTTCCCGCCAAAAAGGTTCAAGGTTACCAACCCAGTCCCTAAGTGTATACCGGCCCTTTACAAGCCGAACTCAGACCTTTAACCCAGGAAGCGGCCCCGCTAGTCGCCGTGGGCGGAAACTCGCCGGGGATTCGCGCCACAATGGATAGCCTGTCAAAAAAGGACCCTAATTTAGGAAATCTACTGAAGAACTACATATATCCTGTATATCCTGTTGCGCGCAAGAGCCTGAAAGCCCATATTTCTTTATTGGGGGCGTTTGAAGTTGAACTCTTAGAGTGCTCGCCCTCAGCAAGCTGCCACTTGGATCCTTGCGGGAGTTTTGGGGGAGGCAACCTTGTTCAGGACGGACCCCCCCTTGAACCCATGAATCCATGAGCTCTAAGCCCCAAGACCCCGCAAGCCCTAAACACGAAACAGCCCTAAAACAACCCTGAAAATCCCCATAACAGCAACAAAAAATAAGAGCCGTAGAAGGCCTAAACTGAACCCGCAGATGCGAGCCTTGCAAAAAAAGAAACTGCAACACCCCCAACCCCTTCGGGGTTCAAGGTGTAGGGCTCCATGGTTTAGGGTTTAGGGTTTTGGGCTCCACTTCGTGAACCCCAAAACCCGTTAGGCCTCACGTTGACAAAGGTGTTTTTGTCAAGGTAGGGCGTAGGAACCTTCTTCAGACGCCGAACGCCTGCCTATAGAGAGCAATAGAGAGCAGGGTTTTGGGGGATATCACGAATATATTGATAAGGGACCCTGAGGGAATGCAATTAGTGGTTATTCCGGCCCCTTTTGTATGGAGGAAGCTAAGTCCTTAATGAGTCCCCGCGATTTCTCCAAGTTGTTCTTCAAAGTCAAAGGTCGGCCCAACCGACTGCTCCCTGAATCCCCCCAAAACCCTATAAGAACCCCGCAAGCAATCGCCTTCAACCCTATAAATCTTCCTCAAAACATGGACAAAAACCCCTAGAACTCCTGGCCTCCGTGGTGGACTGCACTACCGAGTTGGGATGCAGGAGCCGCGTCGACGGGAGGTGGAGGAAGGTGCGCCGGACCAGCGCGATCTCGTCACCGTCCTCGGAGGGCCAACCCAAAAAAGCCGTAACGTAAGAGCGACAAGGCTTAAGCTGCCGCCTGGAATCCACTGTGAACCCCTACAAGTCGGCGCCAGAGTATTCCGGGAATAAACAGGGTACCGGGACATCGACACGCAACCTTGCCGAAGACTCTATCAACCCCAATAACAACTTAAAACCCTAATCCCTAAAACCCTACAATCCCATAAAGCCTACGAAGTATATGCACCCTCCCCAAGCCCCTACACCGACCCGCGGAAACCCTGCATCTCCAACAAGCTGCCCTGGAATCTATACGCCCTAAGCAACTCTAAACCCCATACAAACCCGATAAGAACCCTAGAACCATAGAACCCTAAAACCCTAAATAAGCAATGAACTCTAAAACCCTAAAAACCTAAAACCCTAAAACCCGAAACCCCTAAAACCCTAAACACTAAACCCTAAACACTAAACCCTAAACCCTAAACCCTAATCTCTAAACCCTAAACTCTACTACACTGCATCTCCGAGCTCGGCATCTGCCAGGCCGACGGTGGTCGAAGAGCGGAGGCGCGCACGCAGCCTCTGCAGGGAAACAGGGCGGTTTAGGGTTTAGGGTTTAGGGTTTAGGGTATAGGGTTTAGGGTTCAGGGCTTCGGGGCTCTGTAGACGGTTTTTTGGGGTTGGTATGGGGCTTATATAGGGGGTTCAGCGGCTCTAGGGGTTTAGGGCATTTCGCAGAACCCAGCAAGCCCTCTTTTCAGATAGTGTTTAATACTTATAGTATTCGCGGACAATGGTCCAAACTCGTGGGCAATCAATCGGGGGCAATTGGATTGGGGAATGGTCCAATTCGTGGGCAATGGGCAAAACTTGTCGGCAATGATCACGGGAAATGGTCAACCCCACCCCCCCCCCCCCCCCCCCCCCGAGAAATGGTCACCGGGAAATGGTCACCCCCCCCCCCTCCCCCCGCCCCTTCCGGAGAAATGGTCACCCGGAAATTGGGCTGAACCCTACAACCCCTAAAACCCCAAAAACACCTAAAAGCCCCTAAAACCCCTAAATCCCCCAAAAACCCTAAAACCTCTAAACCCCTAAAGCCCCTAAACCCTAAACCCTAAACCCTAAACCCTAAACCCGTCGGAGGGGCTTGGGCTGCAGCTGCTGCGCGGCTGCCATCACAGATCCTTCCAGGTCCTGCACAGGATTTTTGGGGCTTGGCAGGCCCTGCTTGGAGGTTCAGGGTTTGGGGTTAGGGTTTAGGGTTTCAGGGTACTTATAACCCAAGCATCAGTGCACTTATATGTCACTTATAAGCCCCTGAAGTACCCCAACAGGGCTATAATTGGGCGAAAAGTGCAGTTCTCATTGGGGTACTAAGTACCATGGACCTCCAAGTGAGGGTCCAGTTCCTATAGAAAGCTTTAAGGCCCAAGTATATACTGTATAGGTGGACCCTTGAATGGAATGAAGAGCCTGGGCTCAGGGATTTTCGTTATCTCAAGTTTAGGGCTGACGGTGCAGAAACTTGCGATTCAGTGGCCCAGCAGTGGCATGGGCCGGAGGTTTTGGTACAGGAGCAAACTCGCGCACATGTGCCCGCCTAAAGTACGGTGCACGCATTTGATAAGAAATCGTTCCAAACAAGAAATTAGACCCTGGAGGAGTGCCCCTGTTTCTTAACCAGGGTCTGGCACAAGGCAAATTTCTTATTCCCAGGCCTTGTGTATGGTTTGGGGGGGGGGGGGGGGGGGGGGGGGGGGGGGGGCGGTCACGGGGGACGGGGGGTCACCGGGAAGAGTTCAACGACACCGTTTTTGAGGTTGGGGGCTGAAAACTCCAAGAACGATGTAGTTGAACTCTGGAGTGGGGGGGGTCACGGCCCAAACGGCGAATCCAATTGGTTGAGAGGCGTTCTCCCCGTGTCCTAATGGTTATAAGGCGTCGGCATGGGAACGTAAGGTCGCAGGCTCGATTCCTGCCGGTTTCAACGGGGTTCAACGACACCGTTTTCGAGGTTTTGGGAGCTGAAAACTCCAAAATAGATGTCGTTGCACTCTGGGGCGCACCGGAAAGACAGTTCAACGACACTGTTTTTTGAGGTTTTGGGGGCTGAAAACTCCCAAAACGATGTCGTTGAACTCTGGGGGGGGGGTGGGGGTCACGGGGGACGGGAGGTCACCGGGGAGGAGTTCAACGACACCGTTTTTGAGGTTTTGGGGACTGAAAACTCCAAAAACGATGACGTTGAACTCTGGGGGGGGGGTGGGGGTCACGGGGGATGGGAGGTCATTGGGGACGCGGGGGGAGTCAAAACGATGTCGTTGAACGGGGGTGGGGAGGTCACAGGGGAAGGGGGGTCACCCGGGACGCGGGGGGAGTGACACCGTTTTTGAGGTTTGATGTCATTGAACTCCCGGGAGGGGTGGGGGGGGGGGGGGTTCACGGCGGACGGGGGGTCACCGGGGACGCGGGGGGAGAATAAGAAATGTGATAAGACCCTCAATCTTACTTTCATTTCTTATTCCCGTGGCCGCCTATAAGAAATATTCAGGATCTCAACGAAGAACACCCGTTTCTTATCAAACTGATTGCCCGTACTGTCTGCAGCCTGCAGCCCCCCATGACGGCGGCCTCCTGAACCAAGACGTGGTAAGCCCTGAGATCCACTGTGCGGTGGCTGCAGAGTAGCCGGAAGAGGCGTGGGTCCATGAAGACCTGCTATGGCTTTGGAACATGGCATGGCCTTCTTCTCAGCACTACACTACCGGTACGGTAATATGATAAGGGTCTGGGCTTGCAGCGGAGCCTCCTGTACGATGGGCAGCACGTCCTCATCATTCCCATATATGCGCCAATCATCATTCCCATTTTACCCGAATAACTTACGAACTTATTTCTCCGAGAGTCAAGGTGTTCAACAAGGCTAAACCTGATTGTTCCTTCAAAACAAGGAAACCTGTGAAGCTTGAAGCTCGACTATTGGCTAAGTAATCTACGGCACATATAAGTTTCACGTACACTCTAACCCTTAGCACTTACCCGAAACGCCCCGCAGGAATTTGAGCTCTAAGCCCCTCAAATTTCAAGGAGCTTATGTACACACAGTTAAATACCTACTGTCTAGGGCTCAGCGTTTGGGGCGATAAAGGGGAGATGGGTTTTGCAGGCCTTGGCTCCATTGGGCAAGCGCCAGTGGAAGCCCTCTCGGGCGAGCGCCACTCGGGTCGGCCGCAGCGCGGCCGAGTGCTGCAGCACCTCGTTGAGCTCGGGCGGGCAACGCGTGAACTCCAGCAGAACCAAGCTCCGAAAGAGGTCGTTGCGGGGGACGTCGGGCTCTGCAGCCTCTGTGTCCACCCAGCGGGCCGACTCGTTGTGCCCGATGAAGGAGGCCTCCTTCTCCGCGACGATGGCGGCCGCCTCTGGAGGGCTCTGTGCGGCAGCCTCCGCGCCCCGAACGTCCTCGTCGACGCGAGCGTCCGCGGGCCTTGCGGGGCCGTCGCCGTCACCAAATGGAGAGGCCTTTGCAGAGCCAGCAAGCAAGAACCCCAGGTTTGCTGGCACATCGCACTGGCCGTGCCAGTTCCTCCCAAAGCACACCAGCTCCCCGTTCGCCTTCACGGCGCAGGTGTGATAGTCTCCTGCAGCAACGGCCACCACGGCCCCAAGGTCTGCCTGCACATCGCACTGGCCATTGTCGTTGTTCCCAAAGCACACCAGCTCCCCGCTGACCTTCACGGCGCAGGTGTGATATTCTCCTGCAGCAACCGCCACCACGGGCCCCAGGTCTGCCGGCACGTCGCACTCACCGTACCAGTTCTCTCCAAAGCACACCAGCTCCCCGCTCGCCTTCACGGCGCAGGTGCGAAATGCTCCTGCAGCGACAGCCTCCACGGGCCCGAAGCCAGCCGGCACGTCGCACTCACCGCACTCGTTGAGTCCAAAGCACACCAGCTCCCCGCTCGCCTTCACGGCGCAGGTGTGATAGTCTCCTGCAGCAACGGCCACCACGGGCCCCAGTTCTGCCGGCACATCGCACTGGGCGTAAAGGTTCCACCCAAAGCACACCAGCTCCCCGCTGACCTTCACTGCGCAGGTGTGATATGCTCCAGCAGAAACGGCCACCACGAGCCCTAGGTCTGCCGGCACATCGCACTGGCCCTCGTTGTTTCTCCCAAAGCACACCAGCTCCCCGCTCGCCTTCACGGCGCAGGTGTGACCTCCTCCTGCAGCAACAGCCACCACGGGCCCCAGGTCTGTCGGCACGTCGCACTGGTCTTCGTCGTTCAGCCCAAAGCACATAAGCTCACCGCTCGCCTTCACAGGGCAAGTGTGGTCACATCCTGCAGCGGCAGCAGAGCGGGAAGGGAAAGCCGGCACAGGCGTGGCCAGGAAAGGCAGCACGACCTCCCCGAGGATTTGCGACAACTTGTCAATCTCAGTGTTGGGCTTCTGGCGCAGACTTGCGATGATCCAACACATGTGATGCAACTCCCGGGTGGGTATCGACGAGTTCCTCGCCGACAGGTATGTGCGGGACGCACTCATCAGAGCTGTCAGATCCAGAGCGCTCGCACCTACCTCGTGCTCAACTTGTGGCTGCGCCGAAGCTGCCCAATCAACCGAAAAGATTATGCCAAAGGCAGACTAGGTCATGGACTGCGCTCGACATCACAAACACATTTTGCAGCAATCCAGGGTGTAGGGTTCAGAAGTTCAGGGTTTGTTAGGCCGGGGATAAAGTGTAGGGTTCTGAATCTTCGCCCGGCGAGGCTGCCACGGCCTTAGAGTTGGGGCTGATGGCCTCTTGCACCTGCCTGCCACCCGGCAGTACAAATTGTTGATGTTCCATACCTTAGGGGTTCTTTGGGTTTAGGGTGTCAGAGTTTAGGGTTAGAATTTTCGGGCCTCATAAAATTGAAACCCTTACTTGCGACCCTAATATGCTACTATCATCCCAGTAGAGCTCATTGCGCCCGCAAGGCTCGACCAGTTTTGAGACGAAGCAGCCTGGTCACCTGCGGCAAAAAGCATATCATTAAGCTCTAAACCGTACACCGCTCAAAGCCCCCAAACCCATAGACACCCCGAAAACAACCTATATACCAAATCTGAAAACACCTACAACCCAACAACCTAGACCTTCAACCCTACAACCCTCTTCACACTAAATCACACTAAAACCCTACAGTAAGCCGCGCAAAGCCCTGAAACCGTATAAAGTCCTATGGGGCAAAGCCTGAAGGTGCGAAGCTGGGGCCGTGTCCCCAGGAAGCGCACCACCTTGCCAATCAGGCCAAAGCCGGTGCCTGTGGGGAGCCACGCCACGGCTTAGGGCTTAGGGTCTAGGGTTTAGGGTTTAGGGTTTGGGGTTTAGGGTTTGGGGTTAAGGGCTTAGGGTTTAGGGTTCAGGGTTTATGGCCTAGCTTAGGGTTTAGGGTTGCTGGGCTTAAGGAGCTTTCGGGGTTTAGCTCTGGTGGATTTTGGGGGCTGGTAGGTTCAGGGGGGAGTTGGGGGGTTTAGGGGTCTAACGGATTTTGGAGGGTTACTGGGTTTAGGGGGCTCTAGGGATGGAAGGGTTCTAGGGAGTCAGGAAAGAGGGATTAGGGGTTTTGGACGTTTCGGGGCTTTGGTTAGGGCTGTACGGTTCTGGGGTTGAGGTTTGCGGAGGGTCTTGGAGCATCAGAATGTTTAGGGTCTCAAGTCTGGGGTGTTAGGGCTTTCTTGGTCGGGTTGTTTAGGGCAGTTTAGGGTTGGGGGTTTAAGACCTTCGGGTTCAAGGGTGTCTTGTGAATTGTTGAGGGGTTTTGGGGTTTGGCGGTTTTTGAGCGTAGGCTTTGGGATCTGGCGACTGCGCTCAGCTTGGAGGCATGGGCCAAGCTCTTAGGGTTTATGGTTAGAAGTTTAGACCCGAGGCCACCACTGAAGATGTCGCGCATGCCGTCCTTCGCGTACATGGTCACCTGCTAAGAGGCCCAGGGGCCCGACTCCCCAGATCAAACCGAAATCCACAGCACCCTAAACCCTAGACCCTAAACTCTGAACCCTCTAAATATGCCCCAGCCCTGAACTCCAAGCCTTGACCCCACTCCCACTGCACCTCTGCCCCCCAAAACACTAAGACCAGGAGTATCCTAGGAATAAAAAGGGTGCCCTTTTTGGTTTAAAGGGGATTATGAGGGAACCTAAACCCCAAAAAAGGAAAAACAAGGCCTACTCCGGGTCCTAGAGTAAGTCCCCTACAAGATAGACCCCTACTTTGGAGTAGACCCTGGCAAAAAGTGTATACTTTCTTGCTACAAGTATGAAAGTATAGTACTCCAAAACCCAGAAACAAGGGACAAACATGTATCCCTAAACCCTAAACCCTAAACCCTAAACCCTAAACCCTCAACCCTCAACCCTAAACCCTAACCCTAAACCCAAAGCATAAACAGAGCAACCCGAGAGGCCCCGAACCCGCTGGGTGCTCGGCGGCTGCCATGGTCTGCAGAAGGCGCAAGAGGCACAGAGCTAGGGACGGCCTGGGCTTTTTTGGGGTTTAGGGTTTAGGGTTTAGGGTTCAGTGCTTAGGGCTTTTGGGGTTTGGGGCTTAGGGCTTTTTGGGCTGTGGGGTTTTGGGGTTTGGGGCTTTCGCGCCTTGGGATCTTTTGGGGTATTGTTTTTTTTTTTTTTTTTTTTTTTTTGGGGGGGGGGGGGCTTGAAAGCTTTCGGGCTTTGCTTTGTTGCAGGGCTTAGGATGGTTTAGGGTTAGGTTGCAGGATGACTCTGAGCATATCCATGGCGCGATGGAGACTGCTAGTGCTGCTAGGATGCTTTAGGGACTTAGGTTGAGCTAAGGGCCGCTAGGGCTAGGGCTTGCGAGCTAGTTGCAGGGTCTAGGGCCAGGGTGCACGGGCTCAGGATTTGCATACGATGTTATTAGGGCTTTGCCGGGCTCAGAGTTCAGGGCTGAAGTTCGGGGCCCGTAGATCCTGAAGCCCTGGACCATTAAACCCATCGGCCCGGCCTAAACCCTAAACCCTAAATCCTAAACCCCAAAAACCAAACCCTGAAGCCCAAAGCCTGAAGCCAGACAGTCTGTTCCTTGGCTGTGTTTCAGGTTCAGTTTGGGTTTAGGGTTTAGGGTTTAGGGTTTAGGGTTTAGGGTTTAGGGTTTAGGGTTTAGGGTTTAGGGTTTAGGGTTTAGGGTTTAGGGTTTAGGGTTTAGGGTTTAGGGTTTAGGTTTTAGGAGTTTAGGAGTTTAGGGTTTAGGGTTTAGGGTTTAGGGTTTAGGGTTTAGGGTTTAGGGTTTAGGGTTAGGCTTTAGGCTTTAGGGTTCAGGGTTTTACCGAGGCAGCTTTTTGTTGCATTTGTGTCCTAGGGTTTTTAGGCTTTGAGGGTTCATGTTGATATGGTGACTTCTCTTGATTGGGGTCCTTTTTTGGGGTCCTTATTTCGAGGGTATCCCCCAAAAAGGGACCGTCATTTTGAGAACTGACCATATGGGTTGGTCAGGATGGCCATCTCAACTCCTCTGTTTTTGGCGCCCACGTGCTGAGGGCAGGACGATGATGGCAGGTCCTGCGCTAGACTCGACTCGCTTACTACTATTTGCCTAAGAACCCCCCCCCCCCCACAAAAAAAAAAAAAAAAAAAAAAAACTTATGAGGGCAACATGGGGATCATCATTATAGAGTGTTGGGGGTTCTTAAGCACATAGTAGCTTCCCAGAGGTCATCTAAGCACACAGCGATGATGCACTGAGGCTGTGCATCCATAAGCCCTATACCCCCAAGCCCTACAACCTCAAAAAGCCAAACAAACCTCCAAACCCATACGAGTAGTAATCATAGTGAGAGTGGCAAAATACCAGCAAAAACCGAAATGCAAGCAATAATATGAACATATTGCTAGTAGGTCCTAACCTCCTCTCTGACCCTGTTTTCCATCGTAAAGCAGGGGCTTGGGGCTTCGGAGTTGTTACAAGCTTTTACGAAGTTTGAGTATATCGAGATCCTGAACTTTCATCAATCCCAAACCACAAACCCTAAACCCTCCATTCCTCAACCCCCAAACCCTGGAAAAACCCTAACCCTAAACCCTAAACCCTAAGCCTGAAAGGTTGAGAGACTGAGAGCCCCTGAAGGTCCGGGAGGGTGCCGCACATGTACTGCGTGACTCCCACCACCGCGCCCTGATCCACCACCTGCAACCAGGTCCGGGGTTAGGGCTTGGGGTTTAGGGTTCAGGGTTTAGGGTTTGGGGTTTCGGGTTTGGGGTTTAGGGTTTGGGGTTCAGGGTTTAGGATTTAGGGCTGAGGGTTCAGGGCTTGGGATTTACCACCTGTAGCAGGTTGGGGGGCTCAGACTTTCGAGGGTTTATCTCGACGTCGTCGCTTTCACAGGCGCTCTACATGCCGAAACCCTAAACCCTAAACCCTAAACCCTAAAGACTAAACCCTAAACCCTAAACCCTAAACCCTAAACCCCATTAATCCCTAAGCCCCAACACCCTACACTCATGGGACATCTCAGGTCGTGGGATTTTGGGGGATGCACCGGCCCATCAACGCAGAATGCAATCAACCGAAGAGTTTGCAGGGGCACGGCTTAGGGCCTCGAGTTGGTTTAGGGCTTCAGGGCTTGATTAGGGTCTAGGGTTTAGGCGGTTTAGGCTTCAGGGCTTCAGGATTAAGGAAATAGGGTTAGCTTTAAGTCCGGGTTTGGGGTTTAGGCTTAAGGGTTTAGGTCGTTTCATTTTGGGGCCCCCCCAAAAAGGGGCTGCGGGGCAGCTCTGACAAATGGAGCCTAGGGTTTAACCCCGGCTTCGGGAAAGCCCCATGTTGCACTATGCCCGCAATTACCTGTATTCGATGGCTAGCCCGCTGCACCTGCTGGCAGCCATCTCGGAAGATCGTGACGGCCTGCCCAGAAAGAAACCCGGATTCAGGGACGAAAGGAGGGACTCTGATTTAACGGACCCTTGGGGGTCACATGGAGGACATGTGGGGGGGGGGGGGGCACTTCGGCAAAGAGGGACTATGTAAGATGTATCAAGGGATAACTTCGGGAAGTAGGAATGTGTGGTCCCTTCTGGGGGTGCCGCCTATCTCACCGGAGGGAGACAATATCTTGCAACCCAAACACTCCTACGAAACCGCTAAGACTCCTGAAGCCCCAACTCAACTGCCCCGCATCTCCAACAGTGTCCATAAGCCCTAAACCCCAAACCCTAAACCATAAGCCCTGAACCCGAAACCCTAAACCCTAGAAACCCTAAACCATAAGCCCTAAACCCGAAACCCTAAACCCTAGAAACCCTAAACCATAAGCCCTAAACCCGAAACCCCAAACCCTAGAAACCCTAAACCATAAGCCCTAAACCCGAAACCCTAAACCCTAGAAACCCTAAACCCTAAGCCCTAAACCCGAAACCCCAAACCCTAAACCCTAAACCATAAACCCTAAACCCTAAGCCCTAAACCCTAAACCCTAAACCCTAAACCCTAAACCCTAGAAGCCCCACCTGGGGAGCCCGAGAAACCCTGGAAGACCGAACTCTGTCAA